TTATTATGTACAGGTTCTCCAAGAGGAATTATCGTGTAAGATACATAGTTCTTTAAGAAATTGGAATGCGGCTACACGCGCGGACCCCGCGCAGAACAAACACGACGCGGAACATGGCAAAACGCACAGCGCAAACGCGCAGCGCACGGAAACGCGTACTATTTAGTACTTCTAGTGAGTAGTAGTAGAGTAGTAGAGAGTAGTAGTAGTAGTAGTAGTGAGTCGTGGTAGGAGTCGTAGAGTCGTAAGTGTAGTAGTGTCGTAGTGAGTCGTAGTAGTCGTAGTAGTCGTAGTAGTCGTAGTAGTCGTAGTAGTCGTAGTAGTCGTAGTAGTCGTAGTAGTCGTAGTAGTCGTAGTATAGTAGTAAAGTCGTAGTAGTCATAGTAGTCGTCGTAGTCGTCGTAGTAGTCGTAGTAGTCGTAGTAGTCGTAGTAGTCGTAGTAGTCGTAGTAGTCGTCGTAGTCGTCGTATAGTCGTCGTATAGTCGTCGTATAGTCGTCGTATAGTCGTCGTATAGTCGTCGTCGTCGTAGTCGCAGTCGCAGTCGCAGTCGCAGTCGCAGTCGCAGTCGCAGTCGCAGTAGTAGTAGTAGTAGTAGTAGTAGTAGTAGTAGTAGTAGTAGTAGTAGTAGTAGTAGTAGTCGTAGTAGTAGTAGTAGTAGTGGTAGTAGCAGCAGCAGCAGCAGTAGCAGTAGCAGTATAGCAGTAGCAGTAGCAGTAGCAGTAGCAGTAGCAGTAGCAGTAGTAGTAGTAGTAGCAGTAGCAGATCGGCAGAAAAAGATTGTAAATACAAAACCAGATGTAAATACAAAACGCCAAAAAAAACATTTGAAAAAAACAAGGCAATATTTTTCGAACGCTGATTCATTGCTACTGGTGCATAATCCGCCTTCTTGCTCTTTTAAACGCTTTTATACTGGAGAAAACAAACCTAGAAGAACACAATTTTCAAACCTTACGCAGAGCGCACTGGGTCTTCAAAAGGACGTAAGTAAAGAGCACTAAAACACAAAATATCAACAAACTTTAAGCCTGTTGTTTAGATGTCAGAATGTATGCAAGATGGAATGCCAGAACGCAATTCAAATAAAATCGCATGGAATCTTCAAGCAAACGCATTTGAACAACCAGCGACAAAAGCGAAGCGCCATTTAAAAAAAGCGGCATAGCATGAAAACATGAGGTGAAAAATCACGTAAGTGTAGTTGCACCTGAGTGCCATGCGTACAAGAGACATGTACCTGATGACAATATACATATCATTATCCATGCCAAGACATGCAGAATTTATTTTCCATCATCGATTACCTGTGTCTTCATGTATTTTTTTTCAAAAAAAACATATTTCAAAAATACATCCGTGTAGACAAGCGAGAAATGTACAACTCATACCAAAACTATTTACATCTATAAGGTCTGATCTAAAGAAAGTCCAGAGACGAAACAAATCTGTATAGTTTTACAAACCTTGATTTCTACCCAGAATGGACAGGTGGATTCTGGAATCTGGAATCCGGGACCCGGATCCCGGGAGCCAGATGCAGGAATCTAAATCCGCAATTATTTTTATCCAAAAATAAACATATATAGCTCAATTCAAGACATGAAAACGTAGAATCTGACAAATGTCTAATCGTGTTTTTTTTTTTGAACGCGGTCATTGCTAGTAGTGAACAATCTATCTTATTGCTTTGTTGAACACTATCTATACGAACCAAGAAGAACACAATTTTCGGACCTTACGCAAATCGCGCCGAATTTTGAAAAGGACGTAAGTAAAGAACGATATTACACAAAATATCGGCAAACTTTAAGCCTGTTGTTTAGATGTCAGAATGTATGCGAGATGCAATGCCAGAATACAATTCAAGTAGAATCACATGGAATCTTCAAGCAAGCGCATTTGAACAACCAGCGACAAAAGCGAAGCGCCATTAAAAAAAAGCGGTATAGCATGAAAACATGAAGTAAAAAAATCACGGAAGTGTAGTTGCACCTGAGTGCCATGCGTACAAGAGACATGTACCTGATGACAATATACATATCATTCTCCATGCCAAGACATGCAGAATCTATTTTCCATCATCGATTACCTGTGTCTTCATGTAATTATTTTTTCGAAAAAGAACATATTTCAAAAATACATCCGTGTAGACAAGCGAGAAATGTACAACTCATACCAAAACTATTTACATCTATAAGGTCTGATCTAAAGAAAGTCCAGAGACAGTAGTAGTAGTAGTAGTAGTAGTAGCAGTAGCAGTAGCAGTAGCAGTAGCAGTAGCAGTAGCAGTAGCAGTAGCAGTAGCAGTAGCAGTAGCAGTAGCAGTAGGCGTCGTCGTCGTCGTCGTAGTTAGTAGTAGTAGTAGTAGTAGTAGTAGTAGTAGTAGTAGTAGTAGTGGTAGTAGTAGTGGTAGTAGTAGTGGTAGTAGTAGTATATAGTATATAGTATATAGTATATAGTATATAGTATATAGTATATAGTATATAGTATATAGTATATAGTATATAGTATATAGTATATAGTATATAGTATATAGTATATAGTATATAGTATATAGTATGTAGTAGTAGTAGTAGTAGTAGTAGTAGTAGTAGTAGTAGTAGTAGTAGTAGTAGTATTAGTAGTAGTAGTAGTAGCAGTAGCAGTAGCAGTAGCAGTAGCAGTAGCAGTAGGCGTCGTCGTCGTCGTAGTAGTTAGGTGGAGTTAGTAGTAGTAGTAGTAGTAGTAGTAGTAGTAGTTAGTAGTAGTAGTTAGTAGGTAGTAGTTAGTAGTTAGTAGTTAGTAGTTAGTAGTTAGTAGTTAGTAGTTAGTAGTTAGTAGTTAGTAGTTAGTAGTTAGTAGTTAGTAGTTTGTAGCTTGTAGCTTGTAGCTTGTAGCTTGTAGCTTGTAGTTTGTACCTGGTAGCTTGTAGCTTGTAGCTTCTAGCTTGTAGTTTGTTGTTTGTTGTTTGTAGTTTGGTAGTTTGGTAGTTTGGTAGTTTTGTAGTTTTGTAGTTTTGTAGTTTTGTAGTTTGTGGTTTGTGGTTTGTCGTTTGTAGTTAGTAGTTAGTAGTGAGTAGTCAGTAGTGAGTAGTGAGTAGTTGGTAGTTAGTATTTAGTAGTTAGTAGTTAGTAGTTAGTAGTAAGTAGTAAGTAGTGAGTAGTTGGTAGTTAGTATTTAGTAGTAAGTAGTAAGTAGTCAGTAGTAAGTAGTAAGTAGTAAGTAGTAAGTAGTAAGTAGAAAGTAGCAAGTAGCAAGTAGTAACTGGTAACTAGTAGTAGTAGTAGTAGTAGTAGTAGCAGTAGTAGTAGTAGCAGTAGTAGTAGTAGGAGTAGGACTAGGACTAGGACTAGGACTAGGAGTAGGAGTAGGAGTAGTAAGTAGTAAGTAGTAAGTAGTAAGAAGTAGTAGTAAGTAGTAAGTAGTAAGTAGTAAGTAGTAAGTAGTAAGTAGTAAGTAGTAAGTAGTAAGTAGCAAGTAGAAAGTAGTTAGTAGTAAGTAGTTAGTAGTTAGTAGTTAGTAGTTAGTAGTTGGTAGTTAGTAGTTAGTAGTTAGTAGTTAGTAGTTAGTAGTTAGTAGCTAGTAGCTAGTAGTTAGTACCTAGTAGTTAGTAGCAGTAGTAGCAGCAGCAGCAGCAGTAGTAGTAGTAGTACTAGTAGTACTAGTAGTACTAGTAGTACTAGTAGTACTAGTAGTACTAGTAGTACTAGTAGTAGTAGTAGTAGTAGTAGTAGTGGTAGTGGTAGTGGTAGTGGTAGTGGTAGTGGTAGTAGTAAAGTAGTAGTAGTAGTAAAGTAGTAGTAGTAGTAGTAAAGTAGTAGTAGTAGTAAAGTAGTAGTAGTAGTAGTAGTAGTAGTGGTAGTGGTAGTGGTAGTGGTAGTGGTAGTGGTAGTAGTAGTAGTAGTAGTAGTAAAGAAGTAGTAGTAGTAGTAGTAGTGTAGTAGTAGTAAAGTAGTAGTAAAGTAGTAGTAAAGTAGTAGTAAAGTAGTAGTAAAGTAGTAGTAAAGTAGTAGTAAAGTAGTAGTAAAGTAGTAGTAAAGTAGTAGTAAAGTAGTAGTAAAGTAGTAGTAAAGTAGTAGTAAAGTAGTAGTAAAGTAGTAGTAGTAGTAGTACTACTAGTAGTAGTAGTAGTACTAGTAGTACTAGTAGTACTAGTAGTACTAGTAGTACTAGTAGTACTAGTAGTAGTACTATTAGGAGTAGTAGTAGTAGTAGCAGGAGTAGTAGTAGTAGTAGTAGTAGTAGTGGTAGTGGTAGTGGTAGTGGTAGTAGCTAGTAGGTAGTAGGTACTAGTATGTATTATGTAGTATGTAGTATGTAGTATGTAGTATGTAGGATATAAATGTAGCATGATAATTAAAATGATGTAGTCATTATCAATGTTTATGAAAGAAAATGTAGTATAGAGTATATAGTATATAGTATATAGTATATAGTATATAGTATATAGTATATAGTATATAGTAAATAGTATATAGTATATAGTAGATAGTAGATAGTAGATAGTAGATAGTAGATAGTAGATAGTAGATAGTAGATAGTAGATAGTAGATAGTAGATAGTAGATAGTAGATAGTAGATAGTAGATAGTAGATAGTAGATAGTAGTAGTAGTAGTAGTAGTAGTAGTAGTAGTAGTAGTAGTAGTAGTAGTATTTGTAGTAAGGGAGGCTGGCGGGCAGAACGGCGCAAAAATGCACTGCATTGCTTGGTCATGAGACAAAAACTACTTCGCTTATATGGAATTACTGTTTGGGATCTACGGCCGCTGCTTTCTTGCTGTTGGGGATATTCTTTGGGCTTATTCATGGTTTTTCTAGAATGGGGGTACCCCAAAACCATTGGTTTATCCATTTAAAATAGCAATTTTTGGATGATTTTGGGGTCCCCATTTTAGGAAACCCTTGTATGATCACGTGGAATTTGGGCATATGCAAAACTTGGGGGTATCCCTTAAATTCATCGGACTTACTGTAAACTTGCTGTGATATTTGGGCTTTCCCCCCTTTCTGACGGCACAGGATGTCGTTCTGAAGCTCTGTGACTTTGGCACTGCCACGGTCTTAACGGACCAGAGGCCCAGGTGCGTTGGAACATGGCGATGGCCGATGGCCGATGGCCGCGATGGCGTTTCCGTTTCGGCCATGGTGGTGCCAAGCGCAGGTCGTTGGTCAACATTGGCACTCTCTCTTACACTGCTCCGGAGGTGGAAAGAACATGAAAGAACAACTGTTTGTTTTCAAACTCTCCGTGCAGTTATTTTTTCTCGGAATTTGAGCGTGCTTTTTTTTTGGAATGTCCTGTAAGAGTTGGATGAGTTTTTGCCTGATGCCTACTTTTGCTTCCTTGGGTCAATGGATGCTTCACGGAATGTGCATTGAAAGAGAGGAGAACTGGCTGACTTTTTTGAGTCAATCCCAGAACCACATGGCTTCCACAGGTTTACCAGCGCAAAGGAGCTGACCTCCCTGCAGACATATGGCCAGTGCCCACAGATGCAGAAGTGGTTAGGAGATGTTAGGAGAATGTTGCCATTGTCTCTCCAAGTTTGGATGTGCCTTTTTCATGCGTGTGAGAATTTGGTGGCCCTAGGTCTTTGGGTGTCGTTCTGTATGTTATACTGCGCTTCCCTCAGCGATGTAACCTGACACAGATGCGGTCCTTGATGCTTGGTGTCCCAAAATCTCAGCCAAGGACCGGCACAAACCCGTTCCGCAATTCGAAAGATGCCACCAAGCAGGCAGGGGATCTGCTGGCTTCAGCTGCTGGACCCTTGGCACATCTTGAAGCACGTCAATCCCTAACTTGGCAGGAAACAGTGAGAAAGATCAAAGCTGGGATGTCCGAAGCCTGGGGACTGATGGATATTGGTATATACCATGGTGATATCGCACTTCTGCATGATATCTTTCCCAAGAATAACTTAAAGTCATCATCCAGCTTGGTGTTTCGAGGTTTGCAACACAGCGTCCTGGCTGGCTGAAAGTCTCTCCTGGAGGTGGTCACCTTGGGATTTTCTCCACTCTGCTACCCTCTGGTGGTTGAACATAGCTGTGGAACATACGGGCCATAGTCAGTTCGATGATTTGCCTCTTAAACATGGTGATTTTCAGCAAACTCCAACACATTACCAGAGGGATCCAGAGGGTATGAGTGTACCTTTCGTCTACTACACACTGCCAGCTTTTGAGGTCAAGACATTGTGAGGAAACTCCTGGTCCTACCCGAGGACCAGCGCCTTACTTGCAGCCAGGCAGAAGAAATGCTTCGACTTCGCTTCCGAAAAGCTGGTTTTGGGATTGACAATCCAGAGATTTGAATGTTTATACAAAGTAGAGCCAATAGGTTGTGAGGGGCCTGGGTCTTGGTGTTTGACCCATACCCATTCTCCTACTTTTGGAACACTTTCACCTTTCCAGAAAGAAACTGTTTGGCAGGCTTTGCAACATGCCTGGGTGGCTGGAGCTAAACAGTCGCTTGCTCAGTGCACAGCACCATGTGCATCGTGATGAAATGTTTGGGCTACGACCTAGGACGTTTGGGAATGCTGAAGCTCGGGCTTTGGCCAGTAGCTCAGTCTTTGCAGAGCAAGCTGGTGGTATTGGGATTCACCAAGTACATGGCTGCCAACAGACAGTCGAGAAGCGCTTTGATCTTTCACGATCGAACTTCAGGATTTGTTTGACTCATGAATACCATGAAACCTATTACTCAATTGACATTCAACCTCAAACATTTTCCACTTGTAGCGGAATGTAGCCGTAAACTGACAGTTGCTGTGGCAGTATGCTGATCACTATGCAGAAGGGAGGATAAATGCAGACTAAGGCCGTCACTGTGGTGCGAGTCTTGCAACAAATGCTCAAATTGCAGCTGCCACAGAGGCCCCTTTCAGCCCCCATCCCGATGTAAGGGTTGCGCTTGGAGGACAGCACCACGGTCCTTATTTTTTCTGCCAGGAATGCTCTGTTTGCATGCGCGATGGGTGCCACAGAGGCGTGTGGTACACTGTGCCACGATGAGAGGTGCATAGAATGCCATAAAAAAACATAAGAATAACTATGTAGCTATTTTGGCACGAGATCTACATGCAACAAATAGACTCTGGCAACAAAAGGCATCATCCTTCAGTCATGTGAGTTGTTTTTCATTTCTATGGTATGCTATGGTATTGTCTATGGTATTGTATGGTACTGTACCATGGTGCACTACCACCCAGGATTTCTCCCGGTGTCACTAAGATCTGCCAGGCAAACCTTCCGCAGCCTTCTGCCTGGCGGTCACTCTTTCTCTTGCTGGATGCAGCCGCTTGGTGCTGACAGTTGGAAGATGCTACTGGAGCTTGGAGTCCTGTAAACTCCTGAAATCTTATGGAAGCACCTAAACGATTCAAATCCCCAAAAGTTTTGGCAATGCCTTCAATTTGCATAAGTCTTGGGAGTCTTGGCTGGTCTCCAAGGACAATGATGGACGACTCAGCAACACTGCCATGTTTCTGCACAAGGACCCAACCAGTCAACGAGAGACCAGTTTGATGCGTGATGCGTAGCCCTTGAAATACCTTCAACCCACACTTTGGCCAGGCATTGAAGAGTGTACTGTGGGCATAGGGCTGAGGGGCTGTGAGATGCCAATTCACCTATCTTTCCAGCCAAGATGCTGTAGCGGGTTGAGTCAAGATTCCTACAGTGCTACAGTTCACGCCACGGTCGTTGTTGGAGCATCTGGATGGTGTTTGGGTTCAAGGCGTCAGAGCCAAATGGGGTTAAGAGAGCTGAGAACGTCACAAATCCACATCATTCCAACATCATTCCAACATCGTTGCAGCGAAACGTTGCAGCAACGAGACATGAATTTTGCCATCTCCTTTTGCAAAATGCTATCGGACAAAGCAGTGTGTCGAAAGAAGAACTAAATATAAGGCCAGGTGTTTGAAGGGTTGATGGTGGAATCAAGTAGTTGCCATCACCTGCCATGAATTTTGCTTGGCCATCCTTGAATTTCTTTGAGGGCAGGTGGAAAGGTGACGATGGGAGCGAAATAGAAGTTGTCCCAAAAAAGGGATCACTTTGTGCGGCTCTCCGGTATGGTGACAACGACAGTGTCACGTTGCTTTCCATCAGATTTGATGAGTGGGGAAGATGGAGATGTGGTGACGGAATATTTCAGGTCCCTTATTCTTTCAGAGATCAGAACAGGATTTGTTAGCAGTCTAAGTTTGATAACAAATGGTGGACATGGACACGCAACACTCGGGGCCAAAAGCAGATACAGCCTTTGCACCCTTTATGCCATCGGTCTTTCTGCCGTCGATGCAGCCCTCAAACAAGCCTCAACTAGTGCCGGTTGCGGCGTTGCACCTTCCCTCAAGCCGCTCAAGCCAAACTGTCACCTTCCTGGAGAATCTGGAGTAGCTCCTACGCAATCCAGCTGCAGTAAGTGAGCTACCCCCATCGAAAGCAGTCCTTCATTGCTGTCAGGATGGCGGGCATGCCTTGGTATGTCTATATAAATGAGAGCCCGCTTCTTGAGCTTCTCTGCATTTAAGCCGTACATCTCAATGTGGTCATCAAGATCAAGTGTGGGGTCAAGAAGTGGGTTTGGCGCCGCCCAAGCTACATCCTTCATCCTCCCTTGATGCAAAGCATGCAATCGGTCAAGAGATTTTGCGAAGAAAAAGTGCCAGGCCTGAGGGGCCTGAGACCTTCACTTCAATCAGTCCGGGTGCCAGTAGTGGCTTTACCTTTCACGCAGTTCAATATTAATGAGAAGCTGCAGTTCACCGATGGAAGCTGACGGATGTTCGACATGTTGGAGCAACGGATGTGGGACCCAACTTCCGTCGAACAGATTATGACCCTTGATGTATTTCTTCATACAGGACCCGATGGGGTACTAGCCGTTACTAGCCCTTTACTGTCGCAACAACCGTCGTCTTGTGGTATTGCGATGCTTGCAAGCCATTCATGGGGATGTTTTGATGATCAAGTGTCGCATTCATGACACCGTTCACGATTGGTTCTGGAGGGGATATTCAGAGTTGGGCAAGTTTCCCGGTTGCAACGGACTCGGCCTTGGTGTTTGGGTTCGTTGGCCGCGCATCAGGATCCTCCGTGCTACCGGTAATTTTTTTTCCTGTGACTCCACTTCGGCGAATAAAAATGCCAAGTCAGGTAAAAATCATCAAAAAATGGATGTCGCAAGGTTGGGGTTCAGGAAAACAAATGTTGGAGCCAGGAAAGCAGGATTAGTAACATAAGGTTGTACCACAGGATTTTATATGTTTCGAAGATTTGCTTGCCAGGATTGCATGGTTTTCCAAACAAGGTTGGGGTACAGGAAAAAAATCTCTGGGCCAATCTGTCGAACAGGAGAGGGTAGGATCTACATAAAGGTTGTGATCATACTTTTTAATGCATTTCAGTGGTTTGTAAAAAGGTTGAATCCGATAGCTTCACTGGATTTTAATTTTGAACAGTTATGAACTCCGTATGGTTTTCTTCAACAATATCCTCCTCTGTACTACCAGTTTTTTTTTCCTGGGGGTTCAGTACGCTTTTAAAAAACACTATTTTCCAAAAATCTAGCAGACAGTGGGTGAGGGTCCAGGGGCATGATACGGGGCCAGGAATCAAATATCATACCAAAAAAGGCCCAGTTTTTTTTCCTGAAAGCTTCCTGACGTACAGTGGCAGGAAATCAATTTCTGTCTGTTGTGATTGAGGGGGTTGATCTATCAGTCTGTGTATGTAAGGCATCAGGAAATCAATCATGAATGACTCTGATAATGGGTAAGTTTGTAGAATTCCCAAGGTTAGTAGCCAGGAATTTGAAGGTGGATGGATCAAATGGGAGTTTACTAGAACATATCTAAATGTCAAACCCCAGGAAAAAATGTACCATGATTACTTGAGGGGGTATGATTCTTTACATGACTTTGCAAAAGGGTACAACCACATATGTTCAGCTTCACCAACCAAAAAAGGTGACTTCAAGAGGCCGAGGCGCACGTGTCAAAAATAAAATTCAAGGGGCTGGACCTTTTTTGACTGAATACTTGCGGATGATCTTCAAAGGTTGGCCCCACAGGAAAAAAGTCGCATCACCAGGCCAATCATCCACAGATAGGACATGATGGGACGAATTCAAGAATTTTGTGTCAACGCGCGCGCAAATTACAACATATGTTTTTTGCTGAAAATGCATTTGTCCTTGCAAAAGGGTACAACCACATATCTTTAGCTTCACCAACCAAAAAAGTGACTTGAAGAGGCCGAGGCGCAGGTGTCAAAAATAAAATCCAAGGGGCTGGACCTTTTTTTGACTGAATACTTGCGGGATAATCTTCAAAGGCTGACCCCACAGGAAAAAAATCCCATCTCCAGGCCAACCATCCACAGATAGGACATGATGGGACGAATTCAAGAATTTTGTGTCAACGCGCCCAAATTGCAAAACAGGCGTTTTTTTTCTGAAAAGACATTTGTCCTTGCAAAAGGGGTACAACCACATATGTTCAGCTTCACCAACCAAGGGGCTGGACCTTTTTTGACTGAATACTTGCGGATGATCTTCAAAGGTTGGCCCCACAGGAAAAAAGTCGCATCACCAGGCCAATCATCCACAGATAGGACATGATGGGACGAATTCAAGAATTTTGTGTCAACGCGCGCGCAAATTACAACACATATGTTTTTTGCTGAAAATGCATTTGTCCTTGCAAAAGGGTACAACCACATATCTTCAGCTTCACCAACCAAAAAAAGGTGACTTGAAGAGGCCGAGGCGCAGGTGTCAAAAATAAAGTCCAAGGGGCTGGACCTTTTTTTGGCCGAATTCTTGTGGATGATCTTCAAAGGCTGACCCCACAGGAAAAAAATCGCATCACCAGGTCAACCATCCATAGATAGGAAATGATGGGACGAATTGAAGAATTTTGTTCCAACGTGTGGCCAAATTGCAAAACAGGCGTTTTTTCCTGAAGATACATTTGTCCATGCAAAAGGGTTGTGCATTGCCGTGGGCATCTGCCGGACCGCACTCGTGAAGCCGTGGACTCTGAAAAACTGCGAGCTGTCAGCCGGGAAGTCAGGTGCCAGGAATTCATTTTTTTCCGTATCAGATTGAGGGGGGGAAGATATGGCATGTTACCAACGCAAGCATCCAGGAAATATTTTTTTTACTTGGATATGAGAGGAGTAAATTTATTGGATGTTGGACGTTGGGCACCACGAAATTAGCAAAGAAAATTCAAAAAGGTGGTTGGAAGTGAGATTTCGGCTTCAGAGGTTAGGAGCCAGGAATTTAAAGCTCTAAAACCTCTCTCAAAGGTTAGGGGTCATCATTTTAGACCGATTTTTTTTCTAGGACTGTACCCCACGTTTTTGTACCGACGGGGATCAACAATCATGTAGAGAGGACACATCATTTCTGGTCATTTCCAACAGAGAGAGAGAGAGAGAAAAACAGTTCTGGACCTCCAAAGCCTAGTGTCATCCATCTCCCCGTCTTGAAAGATCTTGACAGCATGCGAGCAAAAAAATGATGGAGCCGGTGGAAACCCTGTGACCCAGGATTTGAATTATATGACAAGAAAAGTGTTTATGCCAAACCCTCAGCAGTTTTTGAAAGGTCGTGATCTTCCAATTCAATCGACTTGACGATCTGAATGGGGTAGGTACACATGTATCATCATAAAGGTTATGACCTATGACCCAGGAAAAGAGTTGTGTCAGCGCAATGGTGGGCCAGGAGACATGTTAGTCCACATAAAGGTTGTGGAACAGGATTTTAATTTGTTTGCCCGGGAAATTGCAACTTGGTTGTTGGCTTAAATCTGTTGGGTTGTACCCTTTGGAAATCAATTCCAAAAGGTTGTGGACCAAACGATTTAAGGCATTTTTTTCCAGGACTAGACCCTTTTGAGCGGTACCACGGGCTATGCATCAGGCGGTGAACCAGTCGTTCAGGATCTGCAGCAGATCATAGAGAGGTAATCGAGCAAGAGGCCCCTGCATTGGTAAAGCTTTCTCAAGTGGATCAATGTGGATCCAGCTTGAATCAGTTTGCATCCTGAAATCTGCTGAAATCTCGGAATGGCTGGTGCTGGAGTGATCCTAGAGCCACTGCTATGCAAAATCGGGGACATTGAGATGAAGTTTGATGATGAGCAGATGCCTCCGCCCTTCCTCTCAGGCAACTTCTGCGTGGAACCTTTGACGACTTGGAACGGCCTCATTCGCATTGTGCCGGGAAAGACCAGACTGGACTGGGATGGCAAAAACCTGTTGACTGGCGCCACTTTCGGGTCTTTCCAGTGCCAGTGGGCGCGGCGTGGCTTCGCGACGTCCGTGTCCTCCATGGCGAAACTCCAAACTGATCCAACAAGATTCGATTTCTGCTGGACTTCGTGCGAACTGGAGCACAAAAAAGGTTTCTTGCTGCCTGGCGCAGACCAGTTCTGGGAGTATCTGGGAGTCTAGCCTAAGAGACGACTCCAGTGGAGAACAATCCAGCCTGATGATGCCTGATGCAGATTGGCCCAGTCTTGGGATGATGAAATCACTGAACACTTTTGATTCATATTCTTGACGGCATCCCGGCCCAATGCCACCCAATTTCAATGATCCACCAGCTGCGTGATTCATTGTGGAGAAGTGGCAAGATTGCAGAGTTTATCGCAGACCAACAAACCCAATACCCATTTATACACACATATAACTAAATAACCAACTAACTAACTAACTAAATAAATAAATCCATAAATATTTCAGACTCACTATATATCCATATGTTTGAAGATGACTAAAATTGCATGATTTCCATTTTTAGTTCTTTTGACAGGCGCACCTTGCCGCAATCAGCTTTCAGGTCTGCGGAGGCTCGCCGGCGCCGAGGTGGGATCTGTGACCAGACTCTGCAAACCGGGATCATTGTGACCATCATTTCCGCTCACTCTAATCTCTGAGCCGTCTGAAGGTGACGTATGAGCATTTGAGGATGGCGGTTAAGGTGGGATGACCACCTCCTGTCAGCAGGAAAAAGCAGAGATGCAGCAGTCCAGAATGGCTCAGGCGTGCGACCTTGATGGCAACGGTGTTTTGGACTGGGCTCGCGCCTCGCTACCAAAACGAACTAAGAGCTGTTGAGGTAGCACCTGGTACAGTAACAGGAAAAGAGCAGATCACCAAACAATTTTATGGCTACAGGACATCTAAAGTTGTCGTTTGTGAAAGGCTGAGTGGCTTTGCATTGGTTTGCTGACCGTGACCAAGCTGGCAGAGGTCAGGGAATGCGTAGTGACCATATGTTGTTGTTGATTGATTGTTGTTGTGTTTTTTCCTTGCTCAAGTCATCGCTATATCGTCTTGTTAATGTCTTTGCAATGATCATGCTCCCAGGCAGGGTTGGTGGTCGAGCTTGCTCAAAGGCTCCTCAGCAGGTTGGGAAGCGTGGATGCTGATGCTATTCGTTTGACATCGTTTGACTGCTGAAACTCCACGCAAGGATGTGCACTACGGGCCAAAGTGAGGCGTGGCCTTCACTGGTTCAGTGTTCAGTTGCCAGGGGGCAGCAAATCAAACTGCTGTTGGTTCATTGATGTTCAGACAGCACATTTTGCTGCGCAGGTTGTGCTGGAAATTTGGAAGACAGCACAGCAATTGTCTTCAGACAAGGCATGGGACTGGAGAACCATTGTATGTCGGGGCTTCCAACAATGTCGGACCCCAAATAGGGAAAAAATAATGGTAACTGTTTTAAATATGTTAACTATATATCACATCTGTCATAGGGTTTTCCCATTGGGGACATGGGTTCCAATGACTTGAGCCTGAAATCGTCCAGGAAGTCAGAGGGGTGCCCCTCTCCTTGAACGACTTGTGCTTGGTGCTCCACAGTTGCCAGGCAAGATGCTGAAAAAAGGGGGGGATTAGAAGGGTTGACTATGAGGATTGATGATGGTTAGTTGTGCTTATATAAGAATGGTGAATATAAAACGATATATTAGTAAATGTGAACAATGGTGGATGATGACCAGTATGGTGGTTTCCGAAAATGGGTTATCTCAAAATCCTCCAAAATGGGTCATCGTATTACCGTTCCAGTGAGGAAATGTCCACTGGACGACTCATCACAGTCCGACTGTCATTGCTGACACAATTGGGCTAAACACTCGTTGGTGTTTTTGGCAAGATATTGGATGATACAGGAGTTTGTAGCTTCTAGTCCTAGTCCTTTTTTCTGGTTTTCTGAACAAGTCTGGTCACTTGCTCTGCACTTGCAGGAAGCCATGATCTAATGTCAATGACCAGAGCTCAGTTGGCTGCATGGCTGCGACGACCAAACTGCAGCCCTCTGTGCTTTCCTCTTCAGTTTCATCCAGTTTCATCTTGCCGCAGCTGGCCCAGACTAGAATCACTAGACCTTGGACCAAGACGCAGATGTATCTTTTGGAGGGAAGAGCTTGTGAAGAGCTTGTTATATTGTCAATTTGTCAAAGTCCATGGAGATTTGTCGCTTTGCTCAGTAAATCTAAGCTCCCGCTTGATGTCCGCCATGGATGATGAAGCGATGCATTCCGTTTTGCAGCTGGCGGATGTGAAGTTCAGCGAGATGAGCAAGGAATTGTGTCAACATGTGGCAGAGGAGTTGCACAGAGCAACTGGTTGTCTTGTCAGAGAAGTGGAGGAAAAACTGCGGGCAACTGGACTCACCTTGAGTCCTTCCTGGCATTCCGGCCAAGGCAAGCCGGCAAGAGGCAAAACTGTGGCGTGGGAAGATGAAATTGGCGTTACTGAGTTTAAGTCCTTTCTATCTGATGAGCACGTGCACACCGTGAATTCCAAGTACTTTGAAGATTTGACGGATTCCAGTGGATTTGGGAGCAGTGAAAAACCACAGAAGCCCATTCCAGCTTGGGGCACCAAGATCTCTCCAGAAGCCGCTGGTGATCCTCCACATCCTGACAGGGGATCCATTGCATCCACGACCATCGTTGAGGGAAGTGAGACTGAGACGGTGAAGACCATGAAGACGGTGAAGACCGTGAAGGTGGAAGCTCCGGAAGACCATGATGCACCAGAAGCTCCTCGGAGCAACTTGGTGAAACTGAAAACCGCAAAGAGTATGAAAGTACATCAAGAGTCGATGGCGGAGCGTGTCTTTGGTTTTGTCCCAGATCTCAATGACACTTTTACATCCAGAAGGATGTCAGGATGTCAGAAGAAAGTGCGATCCTTGATTTCCAGCAACTTGTTCGAGGTCCTGGCCATGTTCATGATCATGTTGAACTCTCTGCAAGTTGGCTTGCAGATCAATCACTTGGCAGAAACCACGGCCTTGGATGCAGGCCCAGTATGGCGAGCGTTTGACCTCTTTTTTTGCGCTTGGTTCACCTTAGAGGTGTCATTGAAACTCTACGTTTATCGCTGTCGCTCCTTCACGATGCATGGCTGTGCCTGGAATATCTTGGACTTCTTTCTAAACGCCGTGCAGATTTTTGAAGAGATCGTTGCTTTGGTGTTTCTGTCTTTTGACAATGCCCAGACAGTGGTGAATAGCGGCGTCATGCGAACTGTTCGCATCCTGCGAGGAATCAAAGTCATGCGACTTGTAAGAACGGTGCGCTTTGCTGAGGAACTTCAGCTCATTGTGAGTTGTTTGATCCTATCTGTGAGGACGTTTCTCTGTGTCGTGAGTCTGCTGTTCATGTGGATTTATGTCATGGCAATCTACACCACCCAGGCAGTCTATGTCCATCGCTTGGAAAACTCCAGTGGAAGTGGCGATGAAGATTTGGTGCGCTGGTGGGGCAACATTCCAACCAGCATGCTATCACTCTTTCAAGCACTTAGTGGAGGAGTTGATTGGAATGATATCTCCAAGCCACTCTCCGAGCACATCTCACCATGGTTCGGTTACCTTTTGGTGGTCTTCATCGCTTACTGCTTCTTGGCTTTGCTTAACGTGACCACCGGCACCTTTGTAGAAGCGGTTTCGAGACAAGCTGAACATCTCAAGATCCGAGCGCAAATCATCCAAGCCCGGAAGGTGTTTCAACAGATAGATTCAGATCACTCTGGAAGCATCTCTCTTCTTGAGCTTCGAAATCAAACCATGACTCCAGCAGTCTTGGAATTCTTTGACTATGTCAATGTCGATCCTTCAGAAGCACAGTATCTCTTGGAGGTTTTAGATGGAGATGGCAGCGGCACCATTGCATTTGATGAATTTTTGCAGGGAACTCTACGGCTGAATTGTTCAGCCCGAGCAGCTGATATGCTGTTGGTGGTGAGAGAGATCAAGAGGTTTTTTGTGCATTACAATGCTGAAATGCAATTGATCAAGCGTCGCTTGGGAATCATTTAGTTGACTCGTGTAGTGAATTTGTGTAATTCAGTTTAGTTCTGAAGGTCAGATGGGCTCTTTGCACATTCCTGTTACACAACAGCTGCCAAAGGCACCGATTACATCTAGGTGTGGCAACAGGATGTTGCAGGGGCTCCGGAGCGCACAGCTGACCCGATGCAAAAAGAGTTGATCCTTAAGAAGGATTGGAATTCTTCAGGCGATTCCTAGTGGCTCTGAAGACCTTGTCAAGTCTTTCAGAAGTCTTTCAGAATTCTTTCAGATTTTGCAAGACTTGACAACGGCTTGCCCAGGTTTCCTCTTGGTTTCACGTTGCCAACGCCCGTTGCTCATGCCTGCGCAGCCAAGATACAACTGCGGTGACGGATTTGGACCATATTTCGCGCCCATGGACAAAGCAGGTTTTAAGATACGTCCAACACATGAGCAATCAATTCGATCAAAGCAATCCACGCGCCCTGAGGCTTTGCACATAGCTTAGGAGGTGTTTCATGAGACAGGAGTTCTCCAATCCGACAAAGTCGGCCAGAACACTGTCAGCTCCAGGCCATCTCTTGGATGACTTGAGTGGTGGCCATGGCTGTCACATTGGTACCAGTATGTACCAGTCATTGTTCAACCAGTCTTTTGCTTTCCAATCTTTCCAGCTTCGGTTAACACCATGTTGAAACTATCCACAAGTACCGTCACGTAGCCCATTCGTCTGATTTCTATTCTCGGGTAGCTTCAAAGCTTGAGAGTCCAACCAAACGTCCATGCAGAAGTCAATGCCTGGGCTGGTGATGGCATTTGCGCTGGTGTTTGTGCCGTTGTTTTGCCATCGAGGAGGTTGGATATTTTTTTGGGTGAAGTGTTGGAAAGTTGACAAGCTGCCAGCACATCTGTGAAAATGGAGCTTCAAGGCCCAAGCACTGAGAGACACACAAGTGGCTGCAGCGTGTTTGCATTTTGATGAGTATATATATATATATAATTATAGACTTCCAAGATCTTCCAAGTTTTGTTTCAGACCTGCAATTCAACACCATTGTCGTTTGAAAGGGCACTTAGAGAACTGACAGTGAGAAGAGTTGGGCAAAACAATCTTTCTCCGTTAGCTTGGCAAGCAAGATCACAAAGTAAAGAGCATCCGACAGAGATCACGTGGCGCTTGGCCACAATTTAGCTCGTTTTGAGGAATCATGGCATGTGCGCATGGTGCCTCAAGGAGGTTCGCTTGACCTTCTCGCTGCGTCTTACCTTGTAATTCCAAATTCCTTTCTCCCGAGACATTACCAGGACAAGCTTCCGCTCGAGCCTTGCGTTTTGTGCAACTGCCATGTTTTCTTCGAACATTCGCTTGCACATGTCCGCAACATCAACAGAGCTTAAGCCAGCAAGAACATTTTTTGAGGTTTCAACGTTCCACTTGGAGTCTCTTGTTTCCCAATGTTTCCCATTTTTTAAAGAAGTTTGTAACCTGGAGGTGCTCCACTGCGGTCGATATGGTTTAGGACGAGGGCTTCGACGCTTCACCTGGCAGGTGCAATGACTCGGGCCATGAGCCATGTCACATAGCTATCCATAGCCATGGCCATCCATGGGCATCCATGGCCACCTGCCAGGCTCCCAAAGTGGACTGCTATGCGCTTCTGGGTCATGAACTTACTGATTTTCGTCAATAGGTCAAGTGTGCAGTGGCTGCGGTTCTGCCGACTCTGACTTTCCACTCGAATTTGTATAAGTCATTTTGTTTGCACTTGGATTCGCAGCGAAACAAGTGTGGTGATGAAGTTGTTTTCCTGGTTGGTTGCATACCTGATCCAGGTATCTCAGAATCAGCCAGCGTAGAAGATATCCGTAAAGCTTATTTGCAGCGAGCAAAAAGCGCCCATCCAGATGTCAGTTTTGCAGTGGGTTCAGGCAGGCTGCCGATGTCGACTGAGTTCCTGGCTTCTTGTTCTGTCCGCATTGATATTCGAGTCGCTTCGCGACGAGAGCCGCCCGCACCCTGTGAAAGTTTACGCAGCTGGGGATGCGGGGTGAAGAATGCCGGCCTACCACAATAAAAGGCGCAAATTGCCACAATGAGCAACATTTTTCGAGGTTGGCCGATTTCGAACATACCCCGCCCAGCTGAAGCTGTACCATGGGTTCACTCGATCGCTCGACCAGTATACATTACCACACTCTGGCACCCTTAAGTCGGTGCGGGCGGATTTCATGGCACAGAAGTTAACTTTGCTAGTGAACTCATTGGCAATGACTTGTGGGCCTGCCAACATGTTGCTTTGTCACGAAAGCCAGCCGCTAGGCTAGGCGAAGTTCCTTTTGCGAATAAAGTGAGTTATAGGGGGTCTGGGGGTAGAGCGTGCCAGGAGGTGACAAAGTCACGGATTTAGGTGCAGTGGGACGGGTGTAAATTGGAAAATTTTGAGGGTTATGTACCAGGTGGCAATTGGGTGACGGTGGGGTATCGATTCCCCCCTGGTCCGTCCTCCGAGGTGCATTTGGGGAGACTGGACTGGAAGGGTAAAATTAGAAACGCGGAAAATGGTCTGTCGTCGGAGGTGCATTTGGGGAGGCGTTAGAACACTGGAATCGAAGGGAGTGCCTAAGCAGCTTCTGTCAGTAGTTGGGCTTGTTCTTGTCGACTTGTATTTGTTGGGCTCCGATGTGGGACCATGATGAGGATAAGGCATTGCTTGATGGTCCGTCCTCGGAGGTGCATGTGGGGAGGTGATAGAGAGATTGGAATCGAAGGGAGTCAGAGGAAAAGGCAGATGGTCACAAGGATTAGAAGCAACTTCTGCCAGTAGTTGGGCTCCGATGTGGGACCAAGTCGCAAGGATTAGAAGCAATTTCTGTCAGTTACGATGCTTTGGGAAAGATTGGAATAGAAGGGAGTCAGAGAGAAAGGCATTGCTTGAGGAACTTCTGAGGAACTTCTGTCAGTATAGGATGTTGACGAGACTGTAGCCATCTACTTGTATTTATTGGGCCCCGATGTGGGACCATTATGAGGAAAAGGCATTGCTTGATGGTCCGTCCTCGGAGGTGCATTTGGGGAGGCGATCGAGAGACTGGAATCGAAGGGAGCCAGAGGAAAAGGCATTGCTTGATGGTCACAAGGATTAGAGGCAGCTTCTGCCAGTAGTTGTGCTCCGATGTGGGACCATTAAAGATTAGAAGCAATTTCTGTCAGTTACGATGCTTTGGGAAAGATTGGAATACAATGGAGTCAGAGGGAAAGGCATTGCTTGGAAAGGTTGCGGAAGGATGTGGATGAGATTGTTCTCGTGGACTTGTATTTGTTGGGCTCCGATGTGGGACCACTACCGTCGCAAAGATCAGAAGGAACTTCTGTCAGTATAGGATGCTTTGTGAGAGACTGGATAGAAGGGAGTCAGAGGAAAAGGCATTGCTTGAGGAACTTCTGAGGAGCTTCTGTCAGTATAGGATGTCGACGAGAATGTAGCCACCATTAGCCATCTACTTGTATTTATTGGGCTCCGATGTGGGAACATTATGCTCGCAAGGATTAGAAGGAATATCTGTCAGTATAGTTGGGCTCCGATGTGGGATAATTGTGGTCGCAAGGATTTGAAGCAACTTCTGTCAGTAATCGATGCTATGGGAAAGACTGGAAGGTTGCCGGAGGATTTGGATGAGATTGTTCTCGTCGACTTGTATTTGTTGGGCTCCAATGTGGGTGGGACCATTATGGTGGCGAAGATCAGAAGGAACTTCTGTCAGTATAGGATGTTTTGGGAGAGACTGAATAGAAGGGAGTCAGAGGAAAAGGCACTGCTTGAGGAACTTCTGAGGAACTTCTGTCGGTATAGGATGTCGACGAGAATGTAACCATCTACTTGTATTTATTGGGCTCCGATGTGGGACCATTAATGGTCGAAAGGGTTAGTAAGGAATTTCTGTCAGTATAGGTGGGCTCCGATGTGGGACCATTATATGGTCGTAAGGGTTGGAAGGAACTTCTGTCAGTATAGGTGGGCTCCGATGTGATTGTGGTCGCAAGGATTAAAAGGAACTTCTGTCAGTATAGTATAGGATGTGGACGTCGACTGGGGTTCCGATGTCGGACCATCATGGTCGTAAGATGTCGTAAGGATCAGAAGCAACTTCTGTCAGTATACGATGCTTTGGGAAAGACTGGAATAGAAGGGAGTCAGGGGAAAAGGCATTGCTTGGAATGGTCGCTGGAGGATGTGGACGAGACTGTAGTGGCCGACTTGTATTTGTTGGGTTCTGTCGGCACGGGATGTGAAATCAGCAAGCTTTGGAAAGGGGTGTTAACATAGCAGAAGATGCGACTGCTGCGTCGGCTCCGTCAATGCTCTTTGCATTTTTTTTTGTGAAATTAGGAAGCTTTGGAAAGGGGTGACGAAAATATGAGGTGAGAAGGGCAGAGGTAAGGGTCCGTGCATGGAGGCGCAGTCGCTATGGAGAAGAAACTTCTGTCGGTATAAAATGTGAAATGAGGAAACTTTGGAAAGGGGCGATGAAAATATGAAAATATGAGCGTAAGGATCCCTGAAAGTCTGAGGGCGAAAAGTTTGCGGGTGAAAAGTCTGTGGGTGAAAAGTCTGTGGGGGAAAAGCCTGTGGAAGAAGAGTCTCTGGATGAAGAGTCCCTGGGTGAAAAATATGGGTGCAACGTGTATGGGTGAAAAGTCTGTGGGTGAAAAATGTGACAAGGCTGAGCGTGAAAAAGTTTGTGGGTGAAGAGTCTCTGGGCGAAAAGTGTGTGGGTGAAAAGTGCGCGGGTGAAAGTCCGTCGGTCACAAGTATATGGGTGAAACGGGTATGGGTGCAAAGTCTGTGGGTGAAAAGTCTGTGGGTGATAAGTCTGTGTGCGAAAAGTGTATGGGTGAAAGTCTCTGGGTGACAAGTATATGGTTGAACAGCCTTGGGCGTGAAAAGTATATGGGTGAAAGACGGTGGGTGAAAAGTCTGTGGGCGAAAAGTGTATGGGTGAAAGTCTGCGGGTGAAAAGTCTGCGGGTGAAAAGTCTGTGGGTGAAATGTCTATGGGTGAAAAGTCTGTGGGTGAAAAGTTTCTGGGCGAAAAGTGTATGGATGAAAAAGTACATGGACAAAGAAAAGTATATGGGGGCAAAATCTGAGGGTAAAAGTTATATTGTTGAAGAGTCTCTGGGTGGAAAATCTGGGGGTGAAGTGTATATGGTTGAACAGTCTGTGGGTGAAAGACCGTGGGTGAAAAGTCGTTGGGTGAAAAGTATATGGGTGAAAAGTCTGTTGGTGAAAAGTATATGGGGGGAACAATCTGAGGGTAAAAAGTACATTGGTGAAGAGCCTCTGGGTGAAAAGTCCGTGGGTGAAAAGTGTGTGGGTGAAAAACCCGTGGGTCAAAAGTATACAGGTGAAATGGGTACGGGTGAAAAGTCTGAGGGTGCGAAGTCTGTGGGTGAAAAGAGCGTGGGTGAAAAAAATGTGGGCAAAAAATGTATTGGTGAAAACCCCTGGGTGAAAATTATACGGTTGAAAACTCGAAATATATATATATATGTGAAAGTTTGAGGGTGCAAAGTCTGTGGGTGAAAAGTCTGTGGGTGAAAAGTTTGTGTGCGAAAAGTGTATGGGTGAAAACCTTTGGGTGAAAAATATATGGTTGAACAGCCTTGGGTGAAAAGTATATAGGTGAAAAACCTGTGGATGAAAAGTCTGTGGGTGAAAAGTCTGTGGGTGAAAAGCCTGTGGGTGAAAAGTCTGTGCAAGAAGAATCTCTGGGTGAAGAGTCTCTGGGTCAAAAGTATGTGGGTGAAAAGTCAGTGGCTGAAACTTCTATGGGGGAAAAGTCTGTGGGCGAGAAGTGTATGGTTGAAGCGTCTGTGGGTGAAAAGTATATGGGTGAGAAGTATGGGTGAAAGACTCCGGGTGAAAAGTCAGTGGGTGAAAAGTATCTGGGTGAAAAGTCTGTGGGCAAAAAATCTTTTGGGGAAAATAGGGGTAGGTGGGATGCTGGTTTTCGTTTCCCCCCTTCTCAGGTTCCTTTTTTAATTCCGCTTTCGCACACCCTTTTCCTGTGCAGGTAGCGGAGATATGGTGCAGTTGAACCTGTGTGCAGCACCTAGACTCGTCAAAGGGACTTCAGTCAGGTTACCTTTGTGCAGTCTTTTGGCGGTAGGGGCTAGGGAGTTCGCTCTTTTTGACCAGGCTACGAAGCTTTAACGCAAAAACGAAAAGAATACGATGCAGCGAAGGGAGTCACAGGCGGTGACAGAGACGACCTGGCACAGAGAACATCGGCTTTATCCAGCTAAGTAGAATGAAGTGATACTACAACTGGTCCTAATTCGTCCTTCGAAATGGATGAGATGGTTGAGTTGATGTTTGGGTGAACTGGCACGAAGAATAAGCACAGCGGCTGGGGCTCAGGCGATTTGTTCATCATAGAATTCTATTGTTTTTTCCTTCTCAGTCTGAACGGTCAAAAGACGTTAGTCATTTCGCTTCTCTGACAGGTCAAAAGACGTTCACCTCGGGAGGCTCCACGTCTTCTCGTGAAGCTTGGTGGTCTCGGCCTTGCAGTTCCCTTGTTGACTTGTTTCATCCAAAAGTCTTCGAAGGCTTGGGCTCCTTTGGAACTGCCAAGGCGCTCTCAGGGTGGCTTTGACGATTACCAGGACACGGTGTAAGAGGGAAGCGGGTCGGCCAAGATGCCATTGTTCGAAAGTTGTTTGGGAGATTGGAGTGCTGTGGAAGGATGACTACTACCCGTTTCACTTCGATGATTTTACCGAGCGGATGCGTTGGGAGCTCTGGATAGTGGTCTTGCAAGTGACTGCTCAGTAGTTTATAGGAAGGGCAAGTGCCGAGAGTGGAGCTCGTATACTGGATTATGATGGATCGTTTGAAGTTTGATGCGTGGTATGATGACTTGAAGAACTATGTGGTTGAAAGATCTGCGTTGGCTCAGGCCCCCGCAGGAAGCAGAACCATGAGGCTTTCTCGAAGCGTTCGGGGGCTTAAGCAGTCGCCGGTTTCAAACAGATGAAGGTTTCGCGGACTGCATTTATTGGTCCAAGTCCGGATTGGATAATATCAGAAACTTCCGCAAATTTCAATTGGTCCGCAGCCATGCCGCGTAAAAGTGGCTGCAAGATTGTGCTCGCTGCGGCCTGCCTGAAGTGTGTACATCAGGCTGAGCTGCTGACGGACAAAGAGTTGAGGTTCGTGATCCATTCCAGAGACTCTTTGGCCAGAAGAGGAAATCCCAGAACAAGAAAGCCAAGAAAGAGAAGGCCCCCAAGGGGGTGAAGCCCATGATCTTCGTATCGGCCCCATCCACGGGGCCCGTTCACGGCCCACGGGCCCACCGACCCACGAGCTCAGGGGTTCACGTTGTTCTACCAAGCTGTTCGTTAAAAACTTGTGCCAAGAACTCGTGCCAGATAGATAGCTAGAAAGGTAGACGCATCGATTGTTTGGTTGATTGGTTGGCTGCTTGAATGATGGGCTTGTTGATTGATTTGGTAGATAGACAGATTGATTGATTGATTTATTGATAGATTAGAATAGATGATCAGATTAGATCGATTAGATAGGTTGGATCGGTTAGATCGATTTGACAGATTCGATGGATTTGATGGCCTGGATTAGATAGACTAGATAAATTAGATAGATTAGATTTGATTAGATGAGATGAAATTAGATTAGGTTAGATGAGATTTGATTTAGTTTAGATAGGTTAGACCGATTAGGTTCAGATCTGATTAGATTAGATTAGATCAGATAGATCAGACAGATCAGGTAGGTTAGATACATGAGATAGACTAGATAGACGAGATAGATTAGATCGGTTAGATCAAATACAAAAATACGATAAGATACAATAAGACAATCAAAGCTCAGCTCCGCTTAGCTTAGTTTAGCTTAGTTTAGCTTAGTTTAGCTTAGAAAGGTAGGTAGGTAGGTAGGTAGGTAGGAAGATAGATCTGTATGCTAATAGATCGATAGATCACTAGATGGCTAGATCCATAGATCGATAGATCCACAGATTGTTAGACGAATAGATGGATACCCGGATAGATGGGTAGATGGATAGATTAGATAGAATAGAAAGAGTAGATTAGATAGAGTGGATTAGCTTGATGTCTTTGAGTAGAATACAAAGGATCAAATGACATTAGATGAGAGTGGATTCGCAAACAATAGGTTGGACTGGGAGTAGACGATCGTAGATTAGATTTGATACAGAGAGGCCATCTATACAAAGCAACTTTTTACACAGAGCAGCTCTTACACACAGACGCTTTTGCATACGGACGCCTTTAGACACCAAAGCTTTCACACACACAGACACCTTTGCACGGAGATGCCTTTACACACGAAGCTTTTGCATGCGGGAGCTTTTACACAGAGAAACCTTTACACAGAGTAGCTTTAACTCAGACCAACTATTACACACACACAGACGCTTTTAGACGGAAACCTTTACACAGACCAGCTTCTACACACAGAAGCTTTAAACAGAGCAGCTTTTACACTTAGATGCTTTTATGTAACTACGCTTTTACACACAGACGCCTTGACACAGAGAAACCTATACACACAAACGCTTTTACATAGAGCAGCGTTTGCACAGAGCAGTTTTTGCACACAGACTTTTACACAGAGCAGCTTTTACACCGAGCATTTTTTCACAGAGCAGCTTTTACACAAACGCTTTTACACACAGACGCTTTTACACACTGAAGTTTTTACGCAGAAACCATTACGCAGAGAAACGTTTACACGCAGACAACCCTTTTACACACAGGTGCGTTTAGACACTGATGCTTTTGCACACAAACGCCTTTACGCACAGAAACTCTTACACAGAGAAACCCTTTGCACAGCAGCTTTTACAGAAACTTTAAGCACAGACCCTTTTGCGCAGGTCTTGCCCTTGACCCCCCTAGCATTGCAAGACTTGTCGGTTGACAGGGCTCAGGGTTCAGACACGGTCAGGCTGGGTTCAGAGTTGGTTCAAACTTGGCCGCCGTCCTAAGCGAGAATGCTACGCATTCGGGAAGATCACGGGCACACCGGCCCATCCACGGGCCCACGGGCCCATGCATCCAGACAATGGTCTGGTCATGAGCGATCGGCGAGGCCATACCTTCCATGTGCGTCTCGTGCAAATGGTGGAGGAAAACAGGAAAGGACAGGTGGAAATGCAGCCATGCCCGGGTAGACGGTGCAGAGATGGAGGAGTTCCTGGCAGAGTGCGATCGATGGATGTGATCTGGAAACCGGACCAAGATCTTCACCGACACAGTTTCACCACACGGCCTGATTTCACCCATGGAAAAACAAGTAAATTTTAGAGACGGCTCTGCTTTCCTGCAGATCATAATTATAACTATAAATCTTTATTAGGGCCAGATGGTACGGCAGTTCTGCCATATAACCTGATCGCAGATGTCAAAAATTAATCTGAGCGGCAGAATCTGGCAGATGCTGTGAAGCAATGCGACATGAGCAATCACTTGCACTTGACATGACTAGACTTCAGAAATCTTGGGAATGATTTCAGATGATTGAAGAAGCGTTTGATAGCCATCCAAACGGCCACAAGCCGACCACACAGCGCAGTCACTTCAAATAGTTGGAGTGAGGTCGACCCAGTTGGGAGGAGTTTGCGGAAGCGTGGGATGAAGTGGAGTCCTTATAGATGTCACGTGTCCAAGTTGGAGGAAGAACACACTTAGGAATTTCAAGCAGAAGACTTACAAGGATGCTGCGGCAAAGAAGTTGCTTGTGCTTGCGCTTCACAGATGAACAGCAGGGAGGCATCCAATGATGGAGTATGGTTGCAAGCCAGCTGTGCTCCAATAAAGAGAACACAAGAGTCCCAGCTGCTCTTTGCAGGACAGCGAAATCCCCGGGGGAGGGCATACCAGAAGGCTGCGAAGCTCTGAGCTCAGTCGAAAGGGCGGGGGTTGGAATGCTTCATTTAACTTGGTTTCCACAACCCGTGGGCTCGTCGCCGCATCTTCTGACTTTCAAGGTATACCATGTGGGAATCCAGCAGTGATGAAGAAGAGGACCGTTGCTGCTTCGAAGTGGTGAGATGAGCGATGCTACTGGTGCAGCTACGAGTGTGGCTGTTCGTATTGTTGCATTTGGCGGCATGCTGGGGCACCCTTGCCCGGACAAAGTGAGGAGTGGATTCAGCCCCGTGGCCGTCGCCGGAAAAAACGTCAGCGGTTCAACAAGAAGGCCGGTCTCCTATGGAGTGATGATGATTAACCATAGATGGCATTGATGGCAGGACGCGTATAAGATGATTCTGGACTGGGGGACTCCGCAGGATCAAGCGCAGGAGCCTCCAAACCCTGGCCCTGGAAACAAGAGTCAGCTGCTGAGACTCACTCATCTCATTCAAACTATGTAAATGGTCATAAATGGTCCATGGTGAAAGATGCGAGCGTGATGGTAGTTGATGGTACCAGAACAGGGTTTGCTACGAATCATGGACCTCGAGAACAGTAATGATGAAGCTAGCTGGCGACTTGCTGATTAACCGCATGTTTGTTTCCATGGTCCCAATATGCATTGTGATTTGTGTTTCGTCATTCTCCTCAAGTAAGGCGAAGAAGTGCCAGAAGAGATGTGGGCGCCAAACTTAGAAAACATGAATTGCAGTGTGATCATTTGATTAATTTGATTTATTTGATCATGGAGGTGGTGCTGCAACTGAATTTGTTTGTGAGGTAGAAATTGCAGGCCGTAATATGCTGGAGCCTTGCAGAGACAAGCATTGTTTCTCAAGCCAACGCTGCTGAAACCGCAAAGACTTTTAGAGATGATCGCAATGATTAAGGCAGTGGGCTGCCATTGGTGGCTCCTACTCGAAGCCTGGGCCTTGGGAAACACATTGGAGAATCTTGGAATTTTCCACTATTTAACTATTTGTTCTTGTTGGCGATGCAGTGATGCACTTGCTTGATCGCTGCTTTATCAGAAAGACCCGAAAATGTGTCGTCTCAAGTTTAGATTGATGATCAAAATTTAGCCTCCAAGATCTTCACGATCTTTGACCAGTTTCATGGCAATGGATGGCATGTCTGAAGCTGGAAGCCACTATGCAGTGCTGGGCGTGGCCCACGAAGCTTCCGTAGAAGAGATACGAAAGGCACATCGATTCTTAGCGTTAAAATGGCATCCAGACAAGGCCAGGTGTTCCTCAAGCAAGTCCACGGTGAAAACAAACTACCTAAACCAAAAAATGTGTTCAACAAAGTCTACCCAAACGGTTGTTGTTTCCGAGTTTTGCAAAGTGTGGTTTCCAGGTTTCTAATTGAGAACTGAACCATGACCACCCCGGACAACCCCCCAACAATTGCATTTTTTCGGGCAGCTGCAGATGATGGCAAGGTTTACTGACAGGACTTGCAAAGGTTGAGATCCTTAATTTTGTCTTGCCATGTTCCAGCCTTTTGGTTCCATGTGTCTTCTATTTCCTTTCATTTGTTTTTCTGGCCTCTTTGGATATTCCCTAAAACAAAGTGCCATTCCATCCCCTACTTGTTGGTTAGTCTATTTCTGGTTTTCCTTTTTGGAATGCGATGCGTCAGATAGGAGCACGAGTAATACAAGGGACCATGGTGCAACTGCCCCTGCTACTGTGGGACTTGTACTCAGCAAACAATTGGCCGTTTTAGATGGACAGATCAATACTGGAAGGTTGATTTCAGTGTATTCTTGACGGAAACCGCTTACACATTTCGCATCGCTAAGATAGGTGCAATGGAACTAGTTTATGAGGGCAACGACAGATTTTAGTGACATGGGAGCAGCATCAGCACACATCAAGCTGAAGAGTCTTGTATTGGGGGACCCACAGCACACACCACAGAGGGGAGGGACTCTTAGAGGTAACTCTGCCCGATTCGCCCGTCCAGGGTTTTGTTTGGAGTGGTGTGGAGTAAAAAGAACACAGAATTTTAGGACAAGAGGGGAGTTATGTCATGTGTAAGCAATTGTGAACAGCAGAGCTCAAATCAGCAACCATTTTCATATTTTGCAAACTGTTCAGCGCTGAAAACGCTCCCTACTTTTGGCTCCTGGAGAAAGATGTGGGATGGATGACCAGTGTCACATTTGTTTCGCCATGGCTTAAATGTAGAAAAACAAACTCAAATTACTTTCTTCGAGTGATCCCCACCCTGATCCATTATTCTGACATAGTTTCTGACATACCATCTGGAAGTCATTCTTTCAGGCATATACTCTGACATCCTTTCTGGCATTCTACCTGGCATCTATTTTGGCATACCTTCTGGCATATATTCTGACATTCTTTCTGGCATTCTATTTGGCATATTTTCTGACATTCTTCCTGGCATTCTATCTGGCATATCTTCGGAGATTCTTTGCGGTTGAGGTCCGGCAGGGACCACTCTGATCCGGGGCTTGCTGTTCGGGTCCGGCCGGGAACACTGCGATCTAACGCTTGCAGTTGAGGTCCGGCAAAAAAGACTCTGATCCTGCGATCTAGCGCTTGCAAGTCAGGTCCGGCGGGGCACACTCTGATCTTGAGCTTGCTGTTCGGGTCCGGCGGGGAACGCTGGGATCTATAGCGCTTGCAGTTGAGGTCCGGCAGACACCACTCTGATGCGGGGCTTGCTGTTTGGGTCCGGCGGGGAACACTGTGATCTAGCGCTTGCAGTTGAGGTTCGGCGGGGAACACTCTGATCGTGAGCTTGCTGTTCGGGTCTGGCGGGGAACGCTGCAATCTAGCGCTTGCAGTTGAGGTCCCGGCGGGGAACGCTCTGACCCTGAGCTTGCGGTTCGGGCCCGGCGGGAACGCTTTGATCCTGGGCTTGCTGTTCGGGCCCGGCGGGGAACACTGCGATCTAGCGCTTGCAGTTGAGGTCTGGCGGAGGAGGCAGAGGAGGAGGAGAAGAAGGCGACGGGACAGCTGACATAAAACCCAACAAACATCACCTGACAGGCGGGGAACAACATCTTCCATTGTGAAGCACATCTCCAAGAGCAACAACTTTTCCTGTCTTTGAAATTGATCTAGAAATGTTTAGAACTTAGGAGTTTGTTTGAACCTGTTTGGTTCTTTCCAAGTGAAAACTCTTGGCAGATTGGCAAGCAAAAGTTCCACGGGGAAGGATTGGGCAGGCAAAATGGACTGTACAAGGGTATACTCCTGAGATCTACTGAGTATAGTTGCTTCATGTTGCTTCCAGAGCTTTAGGAACGACCACGCATCCAAATCGCACATCGACATCCAAATAGCGAACAATATTTCCACAATGACTGGGGCTTTGGTCCAATTCCACATAAAGATCTCAATTCGTTTGCCGAATAGAGTTTAATGTGAGATGATCCTGCGAGTTTGGCGAGTTTTGATGATCTTTCAAGTCCCCTGACAGGTGGCGGATCCCACGGATCAAATCTCTGTCCGAGTCGCGACGCAGCAGTTTCAGCTTGTTCAGGCTGCCTACGAGGTGCTTGCGGATGTCCAAAAGCGACAAAAATACAACGAACAGCTGGGGATTAGTTCTTTGCAGCCTGGTCAAAAGCGAAGTCGATCGGTGGTTTCGGCGAACTGGGCGCACAGTGATGCAGTGTCCCTTCGAGTGCCGGAGGATGTTTCTACCATTGCAGCTGCAGTGGATAGACTTTCAGCTGCAGGTGGAGTGATTGAAGTCGCTGCCGGTACATATGATGGTTTGGTGGTGGTATCCAAACCCTTGGTAAAACTGATCTGCAAATCTGCGGAGAAAGCTGTGATTCGTGGCCAAGTGGTTTTCCGGGAATGTGCCACGGGTGCTGAGATTAAGAACTTTCGTATCGAGGTGTCCGCAGGTGCGGCCGGTGCAGGTGCTGTAGATCTGAAGGGCGTGGTGGGTGATATTTTGATCCAGGATTGTGACATCAGCAATGACCATTCCGCCGGGCTGGTCTTGGAAGGCTGCTCTGGGCATGTCCAGATCAAGGGTTGTTGCATCCATGACTGCAAGTTTGATGGCTTCGGGTTGCACTTGCTGAAAGGTGACTCCTCAAGCAAAGGGTCAGTGACAGTTGAGGAGTCTGTCATCCAACGAAACGGTTATGATGGTCTCTATTTAGGCAGGGCTTCAAGGCAAAATTTGGCGCAAAAAATGCCGTTGAGTCCAAAATTGAAATGTTTTTTTTCGGTAGGGTCACTTCACTCCATACAAGCACTAAGATTATGGGGTCTCTACACAAAGTGGTAGAATTCAAGGGTGCACAAAACATAAATCGGAACCCTGGGCCGCCGGGCCAAACAAAGCGGCTGCGCAACTGCAACACAGGCGACCCTCGCTTTGTGGTGGTACTTCGCCAGAGCAGAGTCTGTCAGAATAAGAGGCACGGTGTTCTAGTGCGAGGGAGCAACTTCTCCATGGAAGGAAGCACAGTGGAGGAGAATTTGGGGTAAAGTGCAGATTCCTACGATTATTCCAATGATCGGAACTGACAGAACATAGTGTCATTGTCTCATTTTTTGGGCAGCTGCAACTGCATTTTTTGTTAAGTCCGGCAAGGAGAATGGCGAAGATTCTGTCCGGACAGAGGAGTTTGTGCACAAACAGAATCCCAGAGGCACGCAAAAGGTCGGCAAAGCTCGTGAGGTTGTGGCGGAGTTACCTGAAGGATGGCGTGCCTTCCGAAATTCCGAAGGCTTGGTTTACTACTACCACATGCAGAGTGGCACCACCAGATGGTCTCTACCCGGCTCCGAAGATACCGGGAAACCAGAGACACCTGCCATAGCCATAGCAGGCAGAGAAGGCAGGCGCAGCAGATGGAGCTGAGTCGAAACTTGGAGCTCAGATACCTCAAAGACGGGAGAACGTCATGCATTTCCTGAAGCACAACGAAACTTTGGAATCATGTTCCATGGTTGCCTTGAACAGGCTACTGAAAGTATCTGAAAGTTTTCATGGAGGAATCCTAGCCATCCAAGACTCCAATGGAACCGGCCCTATATCTCAAGTTTTTCAGTCCCAGCTGTGCGATTTTTTGGGAGAATTTTTTGGGAGAATTTGGATCCAAAAGCATCTCAGGTCCAATGGGATTTTCACCGTGGCCGCCAGACACCGAGATTCGCAAAGGAACCTTTGTGCATCCACCAGACCAGCGGTATCCGGGTGTGAAGATCCGGATCACGGAAGCAATGCTTGATGGTGCACTCTACGCCTTTTTCGGAGAGCATTTGAATAGTTGACATGAGACATGAATACATGAGATATGTGTTTTACAAATATTTCTGATATTTTGATTCTGTGAGAGCATTAGGAATGTAAATACGTGCAACGCAGTTGCCACAGAAATCAGAGACATAGAGCGTGCGCATTGTTGGGAAAAGCGGCAATGGGAGAAATGCAAAGGTGAGAATGAGATGATCTGACATAGAGCACAAGGGGTCTCTACAAACATAGACGATACAGCGTGAAAAAGTGGGACCTTGCTGTGGTTGGGACAGTAGGTTGCATGTTCGTGTATTCATACAAATGAGAACGATTACATTTCAAGTCACCTCTACATACCTCTACCTTTGTATTTCTGCACTATGAACCGTTGAGATGTACGTGGTCTTCCCTGTGTTCTAGAAGCAACAAGGTTGGAGAAACCCTTCAACGGCCGTGCAGTGTGAAACTCAAATCTGTTCTGAAGATGGCAGGGCATACTGACAAAGAATGGAAAGGTGTGGAAAGATACGGAAAGCATGGCCAACCTGAGGCTTTTGAGAAAAAGGGCCAGCCAAATCTCTTCATGTTCTGGAGCCAACAGTCTTGAACTTATTGCCTTTTGTTTACAACTTTTCGGGTCATTTGGATGTGTCGCCGAGTCTAGCTCTCAGGTATGGTGACTGGAAGATTGCCGAGCGCTTGCAAGATGACGGTGCCTGTCCTCGACTCAGACGAGGGGACCAGCCAGACTCTGTTCATGACGGCATCACTTTAGGCTTGGCCTTTGCAGAGGACATGAAGGGGCGAATGAGGCCAGGACTCCGGGCTGTTCAACAGCTGTCCCCAATATGTTACTGGCTTGCAATGACTGCTAGGCCGACCCAGCCCAGTCACTTGAGCTGTCAAAGCACGTGCGTGACATTCATGGATGGGAGTCAATACTTCGCGCCCGCCATCCCTCCAAAAGGACTATTCTGACTCTGACATATAGAATGGGCTAGCGCCCGGGTGCCGCCGACCCCCCTTCTGGGGGGTTGGCTCCAACTTGAGCGTTCCTTGGACTCTGCAGCCTCTTCAGCCTTGCTAATTGAGCGTCCTGCCCAGATTTAGCATTCCCCATTCCCCGGGGAAGCATCAGCAAAGCAGTACAGCGGGTAGCTGCAACGCAGGCGAAAGTCGCGAGGAGGGCAGCGGAAGAAAAAGCGGCACGCGCCCTTGCCGATGTCTGGGATGCCATCGCGAAACGAAAACGCAACAGAGAACAGGAGAGCTCCCAAATGAAGGACGCAGAGCCGAAGGCAAAACATCCCAAACAAGAGAACCGAACAGAAACGAGCAAACACGGGCCTGAAGATGTACGTGGCCAACGGGAAAACAGCGACGGAAGGCAGAGGGCAGTGCGGGCGACGACTGATGTCGCGGCTGCCAGCGTGGAACGAAAAAGGAAAACAGAACAGGACACCGCCCAAATGCAGGAAGCCCCGCCGGACGCAAAGCAACGTAGAGAAGACGGCGGAACAGAAAGAAGCACAGACAGGCAGGCAGAAATGAGCTGCAAGCAGCAGAGCAAGGGCAGTGCGACGGAGACGTCGGGGGAAGGCAAGAGTTTCCAATATGTTTGTCCCGCTTGCCAAAAGTCTGTGAGGAGCAGTATACGCACGGGCCAAGTAGATCACCGGCGCGCATGTGGTAACCGTTTCCAGGTGTGGGATGCGCAGGTCGTTGCGAAAGGATATGTGTATATTTGCCCTGCTTGCAAAGGGAATGTGTCTAGTGACGTCAAGACAGGGAAAATAGACCATCGAACGGTCTGTGGGAACCAGTTTTCAGTCAAGGACGGCGTTGTGCAGGAAAAAGCGTATGTTTACATTTGCCCCGCTTGCAAAGGGAATGTGGCCAGTGACGTCAAGACAGGGAAAATAGACCATCGAACGGTCTGTGGGAACCAGTTTTCAGTCAAGGACGGCGTTGTGCAGGAAAAAGCGTATGTTTACATTTGCCCCGCTTGCAAAGGGAATGTGGCCAGTGACGTCAAGACAGGGAAAATAAACCATCGAACGGTCTGTGGGAACCAGTTTTCTGTAAAGGACGGCGTTGTGCAGGAAAAAGCGTATGTTTACATTTGCCCCGCTTGCAAAGGGAATGTGGCCAGTGATGTCAAGACAGGGCAAATAGACCATCGAACGGTCTGTGGGAACCAGTTTTCTGTGAGGGACGGCGTTGTGAAGGAGAAAGCGTATGTTTACATTTGCCCCGCTTGCAAAGGGAATGTGGCCAGTGACGTGAAGACAGGGCAAGTAGACCATCGAAGGGTCTGTGGGAAGCAGTTTTCTGTCAAGGACGGCGTTGTGAAAGAGAAAGGTGGTAAACGGCAAGCTGGAACGCCGAGAAGAAGCTATTGATCTGGCTTTGGGGTATCGTTTGAATTGTGTAAATGCTGGCAAACGGCAACCTTGGACGCCTAAGAGAATTGATGTGTGGCCTCGGGGTGGCTGTTGGCTGCAGGATGAAGCATGCCAAGTCAGCGTTTTAAGGGTTTTAAGGTTTTTAAGGGTTTGGAGGGTTTAAGGGCTGGCAAACGGCAGGCTTGGACGCCCATAAGAAGCCATTGATGTGTGGCCTTGGGGTGCCTGTTGGCTGCAGGATGAAGCATGCCAAGGATTGTTTAAGCGGCCCATAAGAAGCCATTGATGTGTGGCCTGGGGGCTGTTGGCTGCAGGATGAAGCATGCCAAGTCAGCGTTTTAAGGGTTTTAAGGTTTTTAAGGGTTTGGAGGGTTTGGAGGGTTTAAGGGCTGGCAAACGGCAGGCTTGGACGCCCATAAGAAGCCATTGATGTGTGGCCTTGGGGTGCCTGTTGGCTGCAGGATGAAGCATGCCAAGGGATTGTTTAAGCGGCCCATAAGAAGCTATTGATGTGTGGCCTCGGGGTGGCTGTTGGCTGCAGGATGAAGCATGCCAAGTCAGCGTTTTAAGGGTTTTAAGGTTTTTAAGGGTTTGGAGGGTTTGGAGGGTTTAAGGGCTGGCAAACGGCAGGCTTGGACGCCCATAAGAAGCCATTGATGTGTGGCCTTGGGGTGCCTGTTGGCTGCAGGATGAAGCATGCCAAGGGATTGTTTAAGCGGCCCATAAGAAGCCATTGATGTGTGGCCTCGGGGTGGCTGTTGGCTGCAGGATGAAGCATGCCAAGTCAGCGTTTTAAGGGCTTTAAGGTTTTTAAGGGTTTGGAGGGTTTGGAGGGTTTAAGGGCTGGCAAACAGCAGGCTTGGACGCCCATAAGAAGCCATTGATGTGTGGCCTTGGGGTGCCTGTTGGCTGCAGGATGAAGCATGCCAAGGGATTGTTTAAGCGGCCCATAAGAAGCCATTGATGTGTGGCATCGGGGTGGCTGTTGGCTGCAGGATGAAGCATGCCAAGTCAGCGTTTTAAGGTTTTTAAGGGTTTGGAGGGTTTGGAGCGTTTGGAGGGTTTTAAGGGTTTAAGGGCTGGCAAACGGCAGGCTTGGACGCCCATAAGAAGCCATTGATGTGTGGCCTTGGGGTGCCTGTTGGCTGCAGGATGAAGCATGCCAAGGGATTGTTAAGCGGCCCAGAAGAAGCCATTGATGTGTGGCCTCGGGGTGGCTGTTGGCTGCAGGATGAAGCATGCCAAGTCAGCGTTTTAAGGGTTTTAAGGTTTTTAAGGGTTTGGAGGGTTTGGAGGGTTTAAGGGCTGGCAAACGACAGGATTGGACGCCCATAAGAAGCCGTTGATGTGTGGCCTTGGGGTGCCTGTTGGCTGCAGGATGAAGCATGCCAAGGGATTGTTTAAGCGGCCCATAAGAAGCCATTGATGTGTGGCCTCGGGGTGGCTGTTGGCTGCAGGATGAAGCATGCCAAGTCAGCGTTTTAAGGGTTTTCAGGTTTTTAAGGGTTTGGAGGGTTTGGAGGAGTTAAGGGCTGGCAAACGGCAGGCTTGGACGCCCATAAGAAGCCATTGATGTGTGGCCTTGGGGTGCCTGTTGGCTGCAGGATGAAGCATGCCAAAGGATTGTTTAAGCGGCCCATAAGAAGACATTGATGTGTGGCCTCGGGGTGGTTGTTGGCTGCAGGATGAAGCATGCCAAGTCAGCGTTTTAAGGGTTTTAAGGTTTTTAAGGGTTTGGAGGGTTTGGAGGGTTTAAGGGCTGGCAAACGGCAGGCTTGGACGCCCATAAGAAGCCATTGATGTGTGGCCTTGGGGTGCCTGTTGGCTGCAGGATGAAGCATGCCAAGGGATTGTTTAAGCGGCCCATAAGAAGCCATTGATGTGTGGCCTCGGGGTGGCTGTTGGCTGCAGGATGAAGCATGCCAAGCCAGCGTTTTAAGGGTTTTAAGGTTTTTAAGGGTTTGGAGGGTTTGGAGGGTTTGGAGGGTTTAAGGGCTGGCAAACGGCAGGCTTGGACGCCATAAGAAGCCATTGATGTGTGGCCTTGGGGTGCCTGTTGGCTGCAGGATGAAGCATGCCAAAGGATTGTTTAAGCGGCCCATAAGAAGCCATTGATGTGTGGCCTCGGGGTGGCTGTTGGCTGCAGGATGAAGCATGCCAAGTCAGCGTTTTAAGGGTTTTAAGGTTTTTAAGGGTGTGGAGGGTTTGGAGGGTTTGGAGGGTTTAAGGGCTGGCAAACGGCAGGCTTGGACGCCCATAAGAAGCCATTGATGTGTGGCCTTGGGGTGCCTGTTAGCTGCAGGATGAAGCATGCCAAAGGATTGTTTAAGCGGCCCATAAGAAGCCATTGATGTGTGGCCTCGGGGTGGCTGTTGGCTGCAGGATGAAGCATGCCAAGTCAGCGTTTTAAGGGTTTTAAGGTTTTTAAGGAGGGTTTTAAGGGTTTAAGGGCTGGCAAACGGAAGGCTTGGACGCCCATAAGAAGCCATTGATGTGTGGCCTCGGGGTGGCTGTTGGCTGCAGGATGAAGCATGCCAAGTCAGCGTTTTAAGGGTTTTAAGGTTTTTAAGGGTTTGGCGGGTTTGGAGGGTTTGGAGGGTTTGGAGGGTTTAAGGGCTGGCAAACGGCAGGCTTGGACGCCCATAAGAAGCCATTGATGTGTGGCCTTGGGGTGCCTGTTGGCTGTTAAGCGGCCCATAAGAAGCCATTGATGTGTGGCCTCGGGGTGGCTGTTGGCTGCAGGATGAAGCATGCCAAGTCAGCGTTTTAAGGGTTTCCCAAAGCATGTAATTTTCATGTCCAAATGCCTGGAAGTCTTAACTGGAGGACGAAGCATGCCAGGAAAATGTTTACGCGATGTGGCCTTGGGGCAGCTTGCTGGCTGCGAGATGGGTTTGACCTTGGAAAGCGAAGAAGGAGAAGTTCCACACCTGTGGTGGTCCCAGGCGCCGCCCCTGCCTTGGCCAAGGCCGGGGTCGGCGGATATATATATATATATATTATATATATATAATATTTATATTGTTTTCTACTCAAATTCCAAGAAGTCATTGAATGACTTGGTGCCATACTTTGCAATTTGTCTTTGTATTGTTGTCACACATGTTTTTTGCATGAACTGTTTGCACATCCTTTTGCTTGACAGAGACATAACCATTTCCAAGCACCATTTCATGTCTTTGACAATGCCATTTTCCATACATTTTCAGACAAACCCAACGACCAGGCCCTGGATCTCACATCCAATCCTCCGCTGGCGCCTGTGGGAACCTTCTTCTAGACGTTTTGTGCCGCGTCGTGCCTTGTCTTTGAATGTGTGACCGACAGCGGTGGCTGTTTGGATGCTGTTTGGATGCTGTGGATTGGAAGAAACTGAGCCTAGAAACCTTCAGAAAGCTGGACAGTGGATTTTGCCAATATTTTTCACCCTTCTTTTCCTGGCACGCTCTAAAGACGAGGCCAAGGCCCCCCTGCAGTTTCCTTCCTGCCAAAACATCGAAGGTCTCAACATCGAAGCCAGCTCCGATGGGCCTTCAGGTGAACGGACAGTAGTTGAACAAAGTTGAACCATTTTCATCTTTGCTCTGTGGATTCCTTTTGGCAAACATGACATGGACCTTTCTTGGTGAGTGTTCTGATATTGAAGGGCCCATGGCCGCCCATGGACTCACTGAGCATTGGGCGCCGCCAGGAGGCAACACGAATATGCAGGAGCGTGCCCGTTGAGTTGACATGTCATGGAGGCATGGATATTTGTACGACTTGAACATGGATCGTTTTGTGGATGATCGTGCAGGACGACGATGAAGTTCCATGGTCGAGACCTCACTGGTCTTTGTCTCAGGTTTGTTTTTCAAGTAGACCAAGCGGCTTACAGTTCCAGAGCTACACCGCAGACAGAGCCATCGTTTGATGCAGACCCACAGACAAATGATTAGACATGCAGAAATGCACGCACAAGCACCAAGCAGAGAGGGCTACAAGGGGCAGGATTTTGACTAGGTGTGAGATAGCTGCGGACATCTTGGCGAAAGCTCCAAAAGCTGCGAAGGCTTGCCTTCAGAGATCGCACATCAATCGTTGCTGTCTCCTGAGCGAGGTCCGAGTGGTCCACTACTGACTTGATTCGTCCATGCCTCAGCCATTTCTTTCAACTTTTTCAACACTGGCTGTTTCATGACCGTTTGAGGGAAGATCTTAGGAAATCCTGGAATTTTCATGAAGGTCATGAAATGTCATGAAGTAGTACACTGAGAGTACCAGGTAGTTGTGTCACCATGTGTCACCCAGGTTGGTGTGAACGCCGCAGGATTGACCTCAGCGGATGCTTTGACCGAGAGGCACCAGCCCAGCTTAGGTTTGTGTCCTTCGCCATAGGAATGGATGGAAATGGTAGCCCACAGGGGCCCACAGCGCTTGGGAATGTTGGGTAGTCGTGGTTCAAGTTGAGCTCGTGAGGCTGTCTTGGACCGAGTGATTCAAAGTGCGAAGGAGGCAGGGCCATGCTGTGTTTGATATATTTACTACAGATGTGCGTTCTAGGCAAGCACTCTGGAGAGACTTTCTCATGCCCTGTTGGAAGGACATGGCAGATGCTGAAGACGACACAAGGCCATAGAACTTCTTTTTCTGGGCATCGATGCCATACTGGTCACGAACACTTGGTATATCTTGGTATTTGGCTTGCAACGCTTTGGTTTGGCACATACCAAGTGGTATATCAAAATACCACCAAGTGTGAATGCAATTGTGACTGCATTGCACGAAGTCATGCGGCATGTATTCCATTTGTCATACAGGTGATTTCACACCCAAACGCCGCCGTGAAGGCACAAGGATTCCAATTGACTTGCAGGCAAAAAGGCGTTCAGCATGGCATTGTCTTCGCTGTGACATTAACATTGGTAGCGGAGCCGGAATTTCCGGCGGAACAGTTGGCGATTGGTTGGACTGGAACGTCCTGGGCATCTTCCTACTTCCCTGAATCCACCTTTTTCCTTGTCCCCTTAGAGAGCATCCATGGTGGCTGGCCAAGTTTGGCGAGCGTCTGGCCGAGGCCGTGGGAGTGGTTCTAGACGTCAAAGACCTGAACCCGAAGGAGGCGCGGCTGGTAGTGAGAGCAGTCCTGAGACAGGGGCTGTGGGCAGTGAGGGGCGTGAACGCCCAGAAGCGTTAGAAGTGGTTGAGGATGACGATGGGGACCAAGGTGAGTCATGGTGGAATCAGGGGTGGCGAACTACCCCTGCAAGCTGGTCCAATGATTCTGGTTGGCATGAATGGTATAGAAATGATGGATGGAACCCCCCAACATGGAGGGACAGTTTTGTAGCTAGAATCGAAGAAACCACATGGGGCAGAGATGGAAGATGGCAAGGCAGTTCCACTCATGGCAATAGCCATGATTCCTGGCATGGCGCTGACGGCAGTGAAGATCAGGGCAGAGCTGGGAAACCGACGGAGAAGATGACAGTGCCGTCTTTTGACGGTGAAGGTGGCGAAGTTGAGCTGGGCACTTCTGCGCGGTCTTACATGCGTAGGATTGCTGCGTGGAACAGGTGCACGAAGCTGGCAGAGACGGAAAGAGCTTTGGCGCTCTACACGCACTTGTCTGGCAGGGCATGGCTGTTTGCTGAAGAGCTGGATGTGGATCGTTTGGGCTCATGGGATGGCATGGCATACTACTTGGAGTGGGTGCGTGTGCGCTTCATGGAGATCGAGATCAACAAGGTTGGAGCTATCATGAATGAGCTCTTCCGCAAGTGTCGCAAGCGCACCGACCAGACGGTGCGCGACTACAACATGGAGTTTGAACGGTTGCTCCTTAGGCTGGGAGAACTCAATTGTGAGTTACCGAACTTGGTGAAGGCATGGCTCTATGTGGATAGGCTGAAGCTTTCGGAGCACGACGAAGTTGCGCTCTTGGCTTCAGTGGGCAACCAATATGACCTACGAGCTCTACAACAGGCGGCCATGATCCAAGACCGTGGAATTGTGGCCAAGAAGACTTGGGAACGTACTCCTGGTAGGTGGAAGTCAGTGCATGTGACGGCGACCGGGGGGACAGAGTCAGATCTGGAGGAAGACCCTCAGGATGCCGAGGAGGAGGAGTCTGATGCTGAGCTGGTGGAGGAAGGGATTGCCTCCGAGATGCATAGCGCATACATGGCCTTCCAGGACGCCAAGTCGAAATACAGGGAAGCTTTGAAGGGCCGTGGTCTTGACAAAGAGGAGCTCAAGAAGAGGAATGCGGAGAGGCTGAAGCTGGCCAAGGCCAGAAGTTACTGCGCCGCTTGCAAAAGGCGGGGTCACTGGCACAAAGATCCCGAATGTCCTCTACATGGTGCTGTCATCAAGGCCAGTGAGACGAAGCATGCCCAGATGAGTACGCACCATGTGCAGATGTGCTACATGGTGGGGCCTGGGGACTATGTGCCGACCATCGACGACGCTTTTGGTGAGACCTTTGCCCTGAACACCAACGACTTCCCGGAGGAGGCCTTTGCTGGCGACATCACCTCGGAAGAGCCCTATGACTCTGACACCAACATCACCCTGGAGGAGCACTATGTCTTCGACAAGGACACCGTCTTGGAGGAGCCCTACAACGACGTCGCAGTCTTGGAGGAGAACTACGTCCCTGACACCGGCATCATCTTGGAGGAGCACTACGTGGGCAGCAGCGGCGTCACCCTGGAGGAGCACTACAACCAGAACATCGACATCATCCCTGAGGAGCTCTATGGCAACTTGGTGGACAAGAGTGCCGCTGGTTTCAGAGAGGTTTGGATGACTCAGGAGGCAGAGGGCGATGGCTCTGAGGTTGGCATCGCCTACGACCAGTGGCACTTGGGCAAGCAGATGCTTGCCATTGCTGACACGGCCTGCACCAAGACTGTTGCGGGCCACCAATGGTATGAGGAGTACTGCGCCTGGGCAGATGCGCATGGCGTGGAAGTCGAGCTGGTGGACGAGAAGGACAGCTTCAAGTTTGGGGCTTCGAGGGTTCACTCATCGCCTTTCGCGGTTTGGGCTCGGCTTGGATTGGGTGGCCATCTGATTGCTGTCAAGGTGGCTGTGGTGCAATGCAAAGTCCCATTGCTTTTTAGCCGTGGGGTCCTGGCGAAGCTAGGAATGGTCTATCGAGTGGAAGAACAAAGAGCAGATCTTTTGCGCCTGCACTTGCAAAACATCAAGTTGCAGATGTCTGCGACGGGGCACCCAGCCTTTGTCGTTTCTGACTACCCGGAGGACTTTTGCCCCGCGGGACATAGCTGGACAATTGATCCAGAGGTCCGCGTTTTGGAGGCACCGAGCATTGAGCAATACATGGCTGCTTCTTCATCCATTGGGGCGGGGTTTGAGATCTGCAAAACACCACTTTTCTTCCCAAAGAAGATGCTTCGGAGGTTTCAAACATGTTGATGCACCCGGAACTCTCTCCATCTTCCTTTTTCTTGTGGTGGAAGCGAGCCAATCAAAGTAGGGATTTTTGGATAGAGACTGCTGCGGAGTTGATTAGGGTGCATGTGGTGCCACGCAAAAGAACGTTTGATCCTTCTTTGTGGAATACCAGTTTGAGCGATTTGAAAGACCAACTTTTGGACAGGCTGGGGAACCAGCGAATTACTGAAGCCATTGCATGCCACGGTGAAGGATTTCAACTACATGTTTTTGATGAAGCATGGCAACAAATGTGCGAAGCATCACCTTTTGAACAAGTCGGTGACCTGTGGATTGGACGCAGCCGTTTTCCCAAGAGGAACCCAAGTGGCTGTGATCAGCCAGTGGGACATCACCTAGCCCTTGGTGATGCCCAACCAGCCGCTGTCTCCACGGCGGCAGAGACCGAGGTGCTTGTGTATAAGGACACGATCGGGCTTGGCAAGTCTGAGGAGGGGGATGTGACTGAGTATAACAAGACGGTCGGGCTTGGCAAGCTTGAGAGTGACATCACCCTTGAGGACGAGACCGTCAATCCTGGTGGTTTGAGAAAGTGGATAGACTTTTGGAGCTCTGCGGATGAGGGATCAGGGGATATGAGGTCACCTCTCCAAAAGGCTCGGGACGGCCAACGTCGTCGCAAGATGAACTCCAGCACGCGGCGCAAGCTCCAACACATGGGGGGTCAACTTTGTCAGGTGCTTTTGGCATGTGCCGCGGCTGTCGGCAGTTTGGCAGAAGAGGTCTTTGTGGAGCCGGCTCAAGATCTTTGGACATGTTTTGTGTCCAGCTCGCACCAGGAAACACACTCATCTGCAAGGTGTTTGGAGCTCTTTGCAGGCGAGGCGGAAATTTCCAAGGCCTTTGCGCACCACCAACATGGAGTCTTACGTCCCAGAGACATCAAATATGGGGACGATCTTCATGACCCTAGTGTGCGAGAAGAGGTGTATCGTGAGATACAAGATGAAAAGCCCGACCTGGTATGGATCGGCATGCCCTGCACCAAATGGTGCGCATTTTCCCGTATCAACTACACCAAGCAAGAGCGTCGGAGGTTGAGGCGAAAGGAGAAGGATTTCCTGGCCATGGTTGATGAAGTTTTTCTTCTTCAGCGGCTCAACGGCAAGCACGTGGTCTTGGAAAATCCCACGACATCAGACTTATGGCAACAACCGGAGATCAAGCGGTGGAGCAGTGATGAATTCACCCACAAGTTCTCCTTTGACATGTGTTCCTATGGGCTGCAGTCAGCGGTGGAGCCCGACAAATACCTCCGCAAGTCCATGACCCTTTTGAGCACTCATGCGAGGTTCAAGGAGATCCTCGAGCAAAGGTGTGGGAATAGCCATGAACATGCAAGAGTACAAGGGAAAGATACACAACGGTCTGGTGTGTACCCAAAGGAGTTTGCAGAGATGGTGGTGAAAGTGGTAGAGACATTGCCACACCAATCGGCCTGGGTGAGCTCAAGCCAGGGCGATGCTGTAGTTGAGGTGGAAGAAGAACCAGGACGCGGTGCCTCTGAGATTTCTTTCAAGGGAACCGTCTCCGGCAAGGTGGCAGGAGCTTTGAGGCGGCTGCATCAAAATCTTGGGCATCCTTCCAACCGGGAGCTGGCCCGTCATTTGACTTTGGGTGGAGCTAGCAAGGAAATGGTGGCGGCTGCACAAAACTTGAAATGCAGCACATGTGCTCGATGTGTACGTCCTCAGGCTCATCGGGTTGCAAAGCCCACGGCCTTGCTGGACTTCAATGATGCGGTGGCGATCGACATCATCTTCATAGACACTATGGAGTCGAAGAACCACCTTGCCCTCAACATGGTCGACATGGCGTCTTCTTACCAAGTGGTTGTGCCTCTGGAGAGCAGGCATGCAAACGTGGTGGCTGAGACGTTTTACAAGTTTTGGACGTCATGGGCTGGAGTTCCAGCCAAGCTAGTGTTGGACCTCGACACTGGCTTTCAAGACAGCTTTTGGGAGCTCACATTGGGAGATGGCATCGCCATGAGGTGTGCAGCGGGCCAAGCTCATTGGCAAAATGGGATAGCAGAGCGCTATGGTGGGGCCTGGAAGTCCGTGTGGGATAAGCTTTGCATGGAGCACAAGGTGATGGATGCTGAGCTGTGGGAGGCCACGTCGGCCGTCAATGAGGCAAGAAACACCTTGCGCAACAAATCTGGGTTTTCACCACGGCAGTGGGTATTTGGCAACAATGGACGCCTAGTACCCGACCCTGAAGACAGCTCTGACACCCAGCTCAGCTCCCTGAGCCAAGTGACTTCTGATGAGAAGATGGCCAGAAAGCAAGCACTACGAGTGGGCGCCAAGATGGCGTTCTTCCATCATCATTCGGTGGATGCTCTGAAAAAGGCACTACATCACCGGTCCCGAGTACAGCCAAGGACATTCAAGCCTGGCGACATGGTCTACGTCTATCGAGAGGTCAAGACAAAAGGCAAGAAGGCTTCATCCAAGTGGCTGGGGCCTGCAACAATTATCGGTCCCGAGGGATCCAACTTTTGGGTTGCTCGGGGTGGAAGATGCCTGTTAGCTGCAGGCGAGCATCTCCGACCGGCCGAGCACGAGGAGGTGAGTGAAGCGCTGCGTATCAAGGCAGCGTTGAACGAGATCAAGAATGTCATGGACAATGAGTTTGAGGAGGCGGTGGACGAAGATGCCATCGCAGAGATGGAGGTGGAAGATCAGACCATGTTTGCGGCCGAGCCGGACGAAGATGAAGGGGGCGGTCAACCCGCTTCGACAGCTTCTTCCAGTGCGAGGTTCCCAAAGTTGGATGAGCAGCGCCTTGCCAGAGCATTGCAAGCAGAAGAGCGCCACAGAGCAGCAACCAGGAAAGCGCAATTCCTGGACGATGTACCGGCCTCTGTGAAGAGGAGGGTTGGACCAGTGATGCAATCCCAGTTTGCAGCAGTGGCTGAGACGGTCCCACAAGAACAGTTCTTTGTCAAGAAGGTTAAAAGCCCTGAGGCTTTGGAGAAGGCGTTGGAGAAAGAGATCCCTTGGAACCTCATTGATCAGGCAGAGAAAGGACTCTACATTGAAGCCGAGCACAAACAATGGCAAGAACACCTAGACTTCGGTGCAGTCCGCCCTCTGTCAGTGGAAGAGAGCTTGGAAGTGGAGAAGGAGGTGGGCCGAGACCGAATCTTGAACTGCCGCTTTCTTTATAGAGACAAAAACAGGGCCAAGCGGCGACAAGACCCAACAGTACCTTGCAAGGCCAAAGCACGCCTGTGTGTGGGCGGCCAGAAAGACCCCGATTTGGGGAACATCGAGATGTCGGTGGATGCCCCAACAGCAAATCGGCACTCGGTGCTGCTGGGACTGCTCATCGCACTGTCCCGTGGGTGGTGCATCGCAATTGGCGACATCAGAGCGGCCTTCCTGAACGGGGTAGAAGCACCCAGGAAACTCTATTTCAGGCAACCCGTCCGAGGCATTCCTGGACTCCAAAGCGGGCAACTGGTGGAGATTGTGAAAGGTGTGTTTGGCCTCTCAACTTCGCCAAAGCTGTGGTGGTTGAAGCTTTCAGGCGATTTGCTGGGGTTGCAGGTGCACTATATGGGGGTGGCTTACCACATTGAACAGAATGAAATAGACCCCTGTGCTTTCTGCATCATGGATGAGGAGAAAAAGGTGTGCGGCATGATTTTTACGCATGTCGATGATTTACTTGTCTTAGCTCAGCCTGGGCTGCATGACGAAGTCAAAAGGCAGATTTCGCAAAGATTTCCAGTGGATGAATGGGAGAGTGACAAGTTTGAATACATCGGCTGCGAATACAATGTGTCGGCCGAGGAGATCACGATCACTCAAACAGGGTATGTGGAAAGTCGGCTGGAGAAAATAGATGTCCCCAGTCATCTTCAAAATGATGATGCAGCACCACCTGATTTGGTAGAACGAAACCGAACTGCCATAGGCTGTTTGTCATGGCTGGCCAAACAAACACGTCCAGACATTCAGTTTCAGGTGGCTCAAGCTCAACGAGTGCAAAGCAATCCCACAGTGGGAGATGTCAAGGAAACAAACCATATCATCAATGCTGCGCGAGAGCATAAGCATGAGGGCATCAAGTTGCAGTGTATCCCGGAGGAAAACATGATCCTCTTGGCCTATCATGACGCCGCATGGGCCAACGCTGAACTTGAAGGTGAACAAGATCAGGAGTGGGATGGAGCTTTCAAAAAAGCGTCTCAGCTGGCCTCTTTGGTGATGATAGCTGACGAACGCGTGGTCAAGAATCAGCGTGGCAGTGCCTCCTTCATTGATTGGCGGAGCAAAGCCAGTTCCAGAGTTTGCAGGTCGACTTTCGCTGGTGAGACGATGGCTTGTGGTGAAGCACTGGAAACCAGCCTCTATTTGAGGAGCCTTTTGCTCTCCTTCTTGCATGGACGCTTGGTGGCTGAGAGGGATGCTGGTAAGTACATGGACATTCACCTTTGCACTGACTGTAAATCTCTTTATGATCATCTTCATAAAGCTGGGACGCCAAAACCCCCTACTGAAAGACGCTTGGCGCTGGACTTAGCCGCCATTCGGCAATCTCTCATGGTGGAGGCCAAGCATCAGTGGAAAAGGCTTTATGGAAACGGGTCAGTGCGGCCGGACAAACCATGCAAGCCGCCGCTTCACTGGGTCCCTACGGATAAGCAGCTGGCCGATGTGTTGACGAAGAAGATGAAGCCAGCTGCATGGTGGGCATCGGTGAGTGAGGGGTCCTTAATTTTACCTTTTATTGTGCCAAGCGCGCACACACACTGGGAGATTGAACCCTAACCAGTGTGAATGCAATTGTGACTGCATTGCACGAAGTCATGCGGCATGTATTCCATTTGTCATACAGGTGATTTCACACCCAAACGCCGCCGTGAAGGCACAAGGATTCCAATTGACTTGCAGGCAAAAAGGCGTTCAGCATGGCATTGTCTTCGCTGTGACATTAACACCAAGATATATACCAATATGCTGTTTGATGTCATGATTTATACATACCACAATCACACAGGAGAGAGGACAGCCAGTTCCATGTCGTCCGTATCGCATCTCGGGTACAGGTCTCGGTATATCCGGTACATGGTCATGAATAGCCATGAATGTAAAGAAGCTAAAGGAAGATCTAAAGGAAGCAGTGAGATCACTTGGAATGGAAACCTGGCAAGATCTGAGAAACTGGTGCACTGAGGTGAAGACGGATGGCTCTTACACAAGGCCTCCCACCTTAGATCGTCGCAATTCCCTCTTCGGTCCGGCAACCCGGGGATTGACAAAAAAAGGGACCTCGAGATGGTTTGAGCCGCCAGCGATTTTTCAACACACCGTGATGATGCGCTCTGAGGCAATCGAGTCGAGCGGTTTCAAGGGGTTGAATCCGACATCCTGCTTCACCCTTAGATCCCTTAGGTCGCCTTAGGTCTCTTGTTTTGAGGGGTTCATTTCGAAAATACAGCCTTGCTTCAAATTGCCCAAGGCCGTGGCTATACCGTGCTGGCGACAAGTCAAGGTTGTATGGCATTTTCTTTGGCAACGAGTCCAAAGCCTCAGCTATTCGTAGAACTTTTCCAACATTCGTCGACAGCACCTGGCTTCTTGGGACAAGACTTAGGTTCGCATACAGCTTGGTGTGGACGAGGCTACTTGCATTTTGATCACTCCTTCTTGCAATATGCTGGAGTTCCCCCTGGAAAGTGTTTCACTTTTCATTTTCCTAGAGGGAATCTTCAATCTTTTTTGCTCGTTTGTTTGCTGTTTGCAGCAACATGTGGGCTACCACAAAATTTGGCACCCTGTGATCGAGGTACAAGTTCTGGGGCCGCCCTGGAGCCAGGTGTGGCTTGCCGGCTGACTTAGCCGACGAAGGGATTTGATGACTTTGCGGTGCGGCAAGATGTGCAAAGATGTAGACCTAAAGACCAGATCATTGATCAAAGACTAGGAGGAGCACCGTTTGAAATACATCCCAAGCTCATCCGACTGCGAATCCCATCATTCCTATACAGAAAAAGTCTCAGAGATAGCTTCAGAATAAGATCAGATGCAACCAAGACATAGGTACCATAGGTGACACCTGCTTAGCGCCTTTTGGAAGGCCCAATCGCTACGAGGAAAGCTGGTAATCGATGCTCCCTGGAACCCTCTCGGCAGAAGAATGAGCCGCTGCAAGTGTTTCGAAACTTTGCGGAATAGTTTCCGAAACTTGCCTGTCACTGATCGATGCGTGCCAACACTTGGCCCACTATGGTGGTTTCATGTGTTTTCGCAAGAACAAGTCAGACAGTTTTGCTTCCAATCGGAATGATCTGCTTATTCATGCAACTTTCTTGCCCAAGCTTCCAAACAGTTTCGAAAGAATGATGACTTGGGTCGATGTACAACTCAACCCGCTTTGCTCCTCAGTAGTCTTTCAGAAATTATATGCCATTCCGAACAACTTGGAGCATTTCTTCCATGGGAATCGGACACGCGTAGTAGCAGCCGGCAGATCGCCATGCTCAATGTAGAGGTCGGATTTGAGTAGTTTGGAAGGAAAGAAAACTGCTGAGATAGTGTGCGATTTGCGACTGAATTGCTAACACAAAAGCATTATAAGATATTATAAGCATCATTGAACATCATTAAAAACATCATGTGAACATCATGAACTAAAGTTGCACAAAAACCCACCAAGGCCTGCCCAAACATGTGGCCATTCGCAGGAATTCTTGAGCCCCGAGCTTCGACTGGCCATGTGCCATGTGGGGCGGCTCAACTTTCCCTTTGCACCTGCTTCTAACATCTTCCAACGTCGCTAATTGAAACTCGACTCGCGCCAAAAGGTCAAGGAAGCGATTCGAATCATTCTGTTGGGATCTCAAAACTGTTGCAGTAAGAGCTGTTTGTATATTGCATTGGTATTCTGAAGCATCAATCACACTTACCCACATGCCATGCACCAAGGCATTGCCTGGTCGTTTGCCGTACTATTGGAGGTGCTGATTCCATCGCTGGCCCGGCATGTTAAAGTGGGTATTCAATTTGCCATTTATGCTATTTGTTGGCTCCTATTTGAAGTTTCCAATCCCTGCCAGGACCCCAAAGCAGTTGTCTCGGAGCTCTTCGACGTCGAGTACGTACGGATCAACGAATCTCAACATGTGCAGGTGAGCTGCTTTGACAATGCACAGTATGCCTTGCTGAGTACTCCATCCTGCCTCTTGAAGGAGCTTGAACGCACTGTAGAGAAGTTCTCTGAAATTCTGGAGAACAATCTTGACAGATCAGGCGGACTGCAACCGGGTCTTGCATAGAACAACAGATTTCTAGGTCTCATAAAGATCATAAAGATACGATAATCGAACATTTCTGCGATTGTCCAAAAGTGATCATGCCAGTCGGCTAAAAGAACTTGCCATCCAGAAAAGAAACACATGCAGTGCTTATAAACAGTGTGTGCCAAATATCGTTCGCGGCCAGAGGCAAAGCACAGCTCGTTTTCAATTTGTACACAGTCAAGACTCGAAAGCAGAGCCTATGGCGCCTTGGCAGTGTCACCAACTGACAGTGAATTGACAGTTTCTCTTCATGGTACGTCCATGTACGTCCCACTTCAGGACAAATCCACCGCTAGGTGCTGCAAAGCTGCGATCATTCTAAGATGTATTGTGGACGGCTGCAGGAACCGCATTGTGGGGAGCGATGAGAAAACCGTCTTTGAACAGTGGAGAATTCCAGTGGCGGTGCAACCGTTGAACAGGCGCAACCTGTCGTCATGTTGCTGATGTTTGCAACCCAATCCCCGGATGCCTTGTTTTGTCACGGTGAAACTCGTCAAACATGTGAAGCATCTGAACTGAGCCGCCGGTTCAGAGTGGAATCCTTGGCAGGTATTTGAATCCTGCAGACAACCTGAGAGAGGAGGCGAACTTACAGGTGCCTCATGACATTGGAAAGTGCGTTCTTCAAAGAAGGATGCGTACCACACATTGCATCATAATTAATTTTGTTCGAACTCGAGTTCGACAAACTAAGTTTACGGTTTACTATTTGAGGCCGCATTGGATCTTTTGCACTCTTTTATCACATGACTGTCACAAGAAAATACAAGTACCTAAGGCTTCAAGTGCGTGATTGCAGCTCTGATTCGAAGGGTTTACCATCTTGGGTCTTGTGTCTCCCCAGATACCTCCAGGCCTCTGCTTCTCAGCAAGTTCAGCAAGTCCTTCATTACATCATCGCGAGAGCGAACACCAAGGCCGCCTCCCTTGGCTTCCGGAAACCACCAGCCATTACACTGGCCATGGCAGTTTCCACAGTTTGTCTGCCAGGTGGACCATCTTCCATCTCCGGAGAAAGACACGGTCTCCTACAAGTTTGAGGTGGCCTTCTTGTCTGGTGATGGAAAGGAGATCCTCTCCCATCTGGCTGCCGCCTTTTGATGCACTTGGAATGCAGTGAGTGACTCGTTTGCGCAGGAGATAGGCACAGGATCGTTACTTCCTCAAGGCAGCGCTGTAGATTGGATGAATTTCATTCCATGCACCGATCATCAGAGTCCAGACATGTCGACTCCATGACTTGTCCAGGCTTGGGATCCTCTATCAGCCAGACGATTCGTCACCTACCGAAGTGGCCTTAGTTGTTTCGGACCTTGTTTCGACTTTTTCGGAAAATGCTCAAGCGATTAATTGCAGCGTTTGAGCATATTTGAACCCTTCACTTGGAGATCACAATGTGCCACGCTTGGGGAGCTGAGGTACATGGCATGAGTCGTGTCTTGGGTCTGCTAAAATGCAGACTGTGAGAGCCAGTTGTGTGTTGCCACACATGTTGAGTTCATCAGCAGCAGCTCAATGATTCACAGACGACCTAGTGAAATCTGATTTGAAAAGAAGAAAGTGCTTTTGGCTTTTGGGCCCGTGCTCTCAATGCTGGATTTAAAGGTTTACGCCTGACAGCCGGGCGCCGGCAGAGAAATGGCCGTACATGCGTCCTTGTTTTGCGCACGTCTACGACTAGTACGACGACGACTACTACTATCGTCGTCGTCGTCGTTGTCGTCGTTGCTGCTGCTGATGCTGATGTTGCTGTTGTTCCTACGTTGGACCATTATGAACGATGGTGGAGCCAGGATGGCCCATCTTCGGCAGTCTTGGGCCCCATGTCGGGGCTCTTGGGTGGATGTTGGGCCAGGTGGAGCCCATCTTGGGCCCAGGTTGGGCCTAGGTTAGCCAATGTTGGGCCTATGTTGGCCTTATGTTGTCCTATCTGGGCCCATGTTGCTCCTGTCTTGGCCCTACGTTGGCCTATGTTGACCCCATGTTGGCCCATCTTGGGGCCTATGTAGATGCCAATTTTTCCGTCCCGGACCCCCTCCGTGGAAGCCATATCCTTTCCTCTTGTTCTGCCTCTGCATCTCCTTCCTCTTGTCATGACGTCTCTGTTTCATCTCACGAGGAACATACTGGCGTTTTTCTGGCCAAGTCATATCAGAAGGCTTCAAATGAACAAGAATTGGATTGTGAGCATCACGATCTGTAGGTGCAACCATGAAGATGTTGTGATCATTGTTCAAGCAAGTTTCATTTACCCTGAAGGTAAACTCACCCACAAAGTTCATATGATCTTCATCATCAAATTTGGCTAGGTTCTCCTCATACTCCAAAAGCGCATGTCCCCACTCAACAATAGACATCATACAACAGGCACCACGGTCTGTGGTCTTCTTGACCAGTGTATGTTGCTGTTGTAATGCCATCCAGATGTGTTGCTAAATAAGCAAGATCTCAATAGCTGCAAGAAATGACATGTTTCACCCGAACAGGTGGACAAGTTCTGTCAAAATGCTCGCGTCGAGCTTGTGTTGCAACATCCATCATTTTGTTGACCCAGTATTGCAATAAGCTGCGCAGAAGCCTTTTACGCACAGAACCTTTTGCACAAAGTACCTTTTACACAGCGAAGTCTTGCACAGATTAAGCAGAGAGGCTTTCAGGCACAGACGCGTTTACATAGAGAAATCTTTACACAGAGGAGCCTTTACGCACAGGTGCGTTTACACAGAGAAGTCTTTACACAGAGGAGCTTTTGCACACAGAATCTTGTACACACAGACCCGTTCACACACAGGAGGTTTTACAAACAGACAACTTTACGGCGCACAGAACTTTTACATAGAGCAGCTTTTCCGCAGCGAAGCTTGTACACACAGGGGAGCTTTTTTACACAGAAGCTTTTACATAAGGTTTTCTTAACACACACAGAAGCTTTTACACACAGAAACCTTTACGCACAGAAGCTTTTACACACAGAAACTTTTACACAGAAGCTTTTGCACACAGAAGCTTTTGCACTAAAAAAACCTCTACACAAAGGAGCTTTTACACACAGACGGGTTTACACAGAGGAGTCTTTACACACGAAGGCGTTTACACAGGAAAGCTTCTACACACAGAAGCGTTTACACAGAGTAGTTTTTACACAGAGAAATCTTTACACAAAGAAGTCTTGACACAGCAAAGCTTGCACACACAGAGGCTTTTACACAGAGAAGCCTTTTACACAGAGCAGCTTTTTCACAGAGGAACTTTTACACAGAGGAACTTTTACACAGAGGAACTTTTACACAGAGAAGCTTGTACACTCAGAGGCTTTGACACAGAGAAGTCTTTTACACAGAGAAATTTTGCACACAGAAGCTTTTTAAAAAACCAAAGCTTTACCCCCTTGGAGCTTTTAGAGACAGAAGCTGGTACGCAAAGAAACTTTCACAAACACAAACTTTTTTACACGCAGAGGACGTTTTGCACAGAAACTTTTACACACAGAAGCTTTTACACCAAAAACCTTTACACAGAGAAATTTTTACCCACAGAAGCTTTTACATACAGAAGCTTTTATGCAAGGAAACTTTTGTACAGAGAAGTCTTTACCCATCTTTCATCATGTCTCATTTTTCATGATCCTCCACCATCTGTCACCTTCATATCTTCGTTTTTATGCTCTTTTGGTCAACTCCCTCCGTCGTTTAGTTTTCATTTCGCACGGTGTTCTCTGCGGCGAAGCAAACTAAACGAGAACCCAGAAATAAAGAGCGACTAGAAAGATGGGATAAAATTAATTACATTAGCAGCAATAGCAACTAGAAGAATGTAGACGTAGCTGACGCA